GAATTCTGGGTCATACAGGGTTGAATGTTCTGGATGTTGATAAACATTACCATAACACCTTTTAGTTTGTATCAATTTATGCCCCTCTTCAGGAAAGTATGATGTCTATTTTTCCATGCCCTTATAGAGTGTTATGAAACTTTGATTTTTATCAAATTAATATGAAAATGACATATTGTAGTTTACTTTGCATCTTTTATTAGGAATGTGTTTTTCTTCATTGAAATGGCTTATTGAGAATGCCTTGTTTAATTATGCAATTATATGGTCGGACAAAAGCAGAATCATTGGCATGAATGTTAGAGATTCAAGAGCTTCCAGGTACCCAGAGTTTGATTTGCCATGTATAATTTCTAGAATCAGACATCTACGTTTCTCAAAAAAGCTGAAAATAGCTACTCTTGTTTTTTTTTGAGATATTTATCCATTTGTTCATAGCTAGTGTATTATTTTACTTTTCAATTAAAGTTGACATTTAATATTATTTTGTATTAGTTTCATGTGTACAACATATTGGTTAGAAATATATATAATTTATGAAGTGATAAGCTACATAATATTTCAGTACCCATTTGGCACCATACTTATTCAATATTACTGACTATATTCCCTATGCTATACTTTACATTCCTGTAACTGTTTTGTAAATACTTATTTGCACTTCTTACTCCCTTCACACTTGTTCACCCAGCCCCCCAATGCCTCTTTCCTCTGGCAACCATCAGTTGTTGCTTAAGCTACTCTTAATCAAATGAAAAGTTGTGAGGTCTCCTGTACGTCTTGTAGCATTAGTCTTTCAACCTAAACTCTGACAAAGTGCACAGAGGAAACTCAGCACTGTTTCCAGGAGACATAAATGAAGAAAAGTAAGCAATTTTGAATTACTCACAGATAAAATTCTATATTATTGGGAGCTAGGAACTTACCAGTGATGGCTGCTCCTTGTTTCTGAAAGCTTGCCCTATGAAATGGTGGGGAACTCAGTTTCCATTCTTTCATTCAACAAATAGGCATTTAATACTGAGGATGCGCCTAAGAAGAACTGTCTTCAAGGAACAACTTCTCACCCTAACTGGTTTGGCTCAGTGGTTAGAGCATCAGCCTGTGGACTGAAGGGTCCCAGGTTCGATTCTGGTCAAGGGCATGTACCTCGGTTGCGGGCAGGAGGGAGTGTGCAGGAGGCAGCTGATCGATGTTTCTTTCTTATTGATGTTTCTAACTCTCTATCCCTCTCCCTTCCTCTCTGTAAAAAAAATTAAAAAAAATATATTAAAAAAAGGGAACAACTTCTCTAAAGAGGGGTTGAACATACAATAGAACCCCCTGATAAAGCAAAACATTTTAGGGTCTAAATAGATGTGTACACTCAAGTGTTTCGCTTAGCTGGTGTTAAGAATGACTCACTCAAAGGTACATGGTAAGAATATCATAACTTTCTATTCTTTCTCCTTTATTCATTCTGCAGCAGGTGGCAGCTTCTTTTGTTTCTGCCAGTGGAGGGGAGGCTGATCTGACCAACTGGCCTCTATTTGGTCCTAACGAGTTTCCACCTGCTGTTTGGAGTTTTCCTAGTTTAGCTGACTCTCTCAAGAGGCATATAACTTCTCCTTGCAATTCTCATCCAAGGAGAAACTTACCTCCTTTTATTTTGGTTCCCCTGACCGTACCTGAGATGACTGAAATTTTCAAAAATGGTTTATACTAACTGCTAAAGGAGAACACCATGAAACACAAGTTTCATCCAACTTGCTCACAAGGCTCACAGTCATTGTTCCATTTCCTGTCCACTCTGAGATCTACTGGTTTTCATTCTTAGGATTTCCCCTCTTCTATTTGAAAAGTCCTAGCCAAACAGACTTTTAGGGGAGAGAGAGCAGATGGTAGGTAAGATGGTCTTGCTCTCTCAAGACCACAACCCTTCTTCAGATATCTGTGAAACATGGAAGTAACCTTTGAACATAGATACGCATTTCTTCCCTTGATACAGGTGGGGTCAAAGGTATTTCTTTACACAAGTTCTCCTTTCTTCACATATTTCAAACTTTCACGTTTCTGATTCAAGGCTATTGTTGGTGTTCATATAAAACCAAATTCACCTGGACATAGGATAGAGGTCCAGGTGAGCATGAAGTTCAATTTTCTCTGGTTCACTACCTTTCTAAGCTCCACACAAAAAGAGAAGGTAAAATGTTTTCTGTTTTAAAGGTATGACTATATATGGAATTCCTAGAACAGTTGATTAATGCTTATATCAATAAATGTGACTATAAGTGTTTAGCAAATGAAAATTATTTGATAACTTAGCCTTTTGGGCTTCACTATTAAAAAGGAGCAGTAACTAAAATTAGTGTCTCTGCATGCTGTGGGAGAAACCATATTTTTTGGTAATGGTGGTAACTTGTTCAATTCAGATTATCACTCTATGGGCCAGTTATCACCTGTAGGATCAGCAACCGTATCATTACAGAAATAGTAACAATTATTTTATTGACTCAACAGGTGTTCATTAAATGCCTGGTATTCATACACAGGGCAGACAATTCCAGATACAGATATGCTCATACATGAGACATGTATAAGAGGCACAGAGCAAAAACTGAGAGTAAAATTTGTGGTATTCTCCCTAAAATAAACGAAAACAAATGAACTCTAGCTGTATATAGCAGCATAGATGTATTAAGTGCAAATAATTTATTCCAGAACAATCATAGATATATACTCTATATAATGTCTATAGACAAGTAAAACTGAATATATTCCAAAGGTATACATACATATGTGATTAAACAATATAGAAGATTAAAAAAAAACCACAAGGGAATGTTAACCACAAAATTCACAAGAGAGGCACCACGTGGGGGAGGAGTACATAGGAGGACAATTGATAGTGTTCTAATCCTTGGGTTGTGCAGTGAATTCTAGGAGATCGTTATGCTCTTTTTTTTTTTTTTTGTAAAATATATTTTATTGATTTTTTACAAAGAGGAAAGGAGAGGGACAGAGAGCTAGAAACAGCGATGAGAGAGAAACATCAACCAGCTGCCTCCTGCACAGCCCACACTGGGGATGTGCCCGCAACCAATGTACATGCCCTTGACCGGAATTGAACCTGGGACCTTTCAGTCAGCCAAGTTGAAACAAGAAAACTGGCAGGAAATGGCTTTCATTATTAAGGTGTTTATATCCTAAAGGAGGCAAATTAACCAACTCAGATGATATTTTTTATATGCTTCTCTATACATGCTCTTATATGACAGAAAATTAACTCAAATTTCCTCAATTTCATGCGCAAACACAATATTGCAAGCCTACTTCCAGCTGGATAGCAGGAGGCAAATTTTTAAATGAAGTCTTTATTACAAATTTTAAAATGGTTCTTTCTGGAGAGGCCTGGGAAAATGCTTTAATGTTTCATAGATGTCCTTCTTGTTTCATGTCCCCTGAGCCTCTGATCTAGCTTCCCATTAATGCTTTACTTTCTCATTTCTCACTTCTTACCTCTGGCAGTTCCTGCTTCTGCTTTGACCTGAGGAATCATCACTGTCCCATCTCTCAAATTTAATAGACCTATTCCCTGTGGCAGGGAATAGGTCTATTAAACAAGACTTCACTAATTGTTTGGGGATGAAGCATGAGGGAACTATAACACAAAGAACCTCCAGCTGCTTTCAGAGTCCACTAACTCCAGCCCAACCATAAGACACTCTATGAATGCCCCTCTTCCTAGCTCCCAGCTGGCACCAGTGTAACTGGGGTCAGTTTATTTCTCCTCAATGGCAGGACTGTTAAGTGAGTGCCTCTTTCCTGGGAGCTTAGAGTGAGTGAAGACATTCTCTCCGCTTAATCCAGGCCAAGGTTCATCCCTTAATCTCCTGCCCTTGGATCTGACCTCTTTATAGGAAGATTGAGAGTGGTAATATTCACTTACTATGGAGAACATTTTACCTCTTTTCATATTTATGTGTTTTTTATCCAATCTCAATCTCAAAGACCTCAGAATATTATTATTGGGCAACAGTCCACCCAAATCTGGATTATTTAGTTCTAAATAACAAGTAAAGAACTGTTTATGGAGATCAAGAAATTCCCCCCCCACACACACTCTTTCTATAATACTGTCCCTAATTTCTGCAAGCAATTAATTGCCCCAAAACAATATACACAGTTGGAAAATACAATTCAGAGGCAAAAAGCATTCTGACATATTTCACTCTCAAGCAGATTTTTCTAAAAAAGACCACACTACCACACTATTTATAGCCCTAAAAGAACATGACTTGTCACTCTGAATTCACTTTACTCAGGGCCTTCTATCCGGTGAAGAACTGGGGACCAGGTAAATTCGAATTGTTTTTTTGCTTAGTTTCTGTTTGAAAAGGCAAAACTTGCTTGCAACTTTTAAAATAGCATTCTCCACCTTCTCCCCGTGTAGGGTTCAGTCAGAGTCTGAGTCAGGGCACTTCTTACATAAATGTATTCAAAACAAATGCTTTAGATAAGAGAGAGGGGAAGAGGATGTAGGGCATGATGAATCGCTTAAAAAGAAAAAGAAAAAAAAGGCTTGTGGAATCCTTAATCAGCCTTGATTTCCCAGCCTTTATCCTGTACACACTCATAGGTTTGTCCTGTCTTGTATACGCTTCTGGAAAGTCCTTGCTCACCGATTCATCCTCATTCCAGCACAGTGCATGGTGGCAAAGCGTAGGCGCTCCAAAAATGAATGAATGAGTTGTAGAAGAAAGGCGGGAAAAGGTTAGTTTTTTTTGTTTTGTTTTGTTTGTTTTGCCAGCTATGACATGGAGAACTACAAACGATCACAAAACAACCCAACGCACACTTGGACAAATGCCCATTTTCAACTCGCTCTCAAAAAGATGCCAGGCCCGCCCACTCTACGCCCCGCCCACGGGTGATAGACAGGAAAGACCCTACCAGCTGTCAGGGAAACCGGAAATGCCTGGTCAGACCCCGCGCATGCGTGCCTCCGCTCAGCTCGGACTTCCTCAGTAAGAGAGCAGAGACTCGCCGGCCCGGGCCAGGGCAGTCCCACGCCCCTGCCGCTGCGCATGCGCCTTGGGGTGGTCGGCCGGCCGGGAGGCGGGGCCAAAGGACAGATTTTCTTCTGGCCCCGCCCCTCTCCTTCCCCCACCTGCCACGTCCCGGGCCTGAGCTCTCGCCGCGTCTGGTGGGTCCGCGCGATTGGCCGGGGCCCGCGCGATTCTACGAACGCGGCGCGGCGGCTGCGGAGGGCGGCGGAGTGGGCCTGAGCGCAGCCACCCGGACGCCCGAGAGCTCGGCGGCGAAGACCCGCGGAGAGGCGCCAGCGCGGCCTCGGCCAGCCGGTATGGCCGCCGGGACGGGGGCGCGGCCGCGTTCTCGGACAAAGCGGGCGGCGGGCGAGGAGACGCCGGGAGGGCCTCGTCCGCTCCCGCCGGCGCTGGCGCCGGGGCCGGAGCGGCCTGGCCGGGGGCGGGAGGCCGTGAGCGCGGAGGCCGGGTGGGGCCTCGCGGTGGGGGTGGGGGAGGAGGAGAGGCCGCGGCGCCGGAGGGAGGGAGGAAGGGGGTCCGCCGTGGCGTGTCGGGGTGGCGGGTCCCTGGGGGCTGGGGCTGGGGCTGCTCCGCCTGGCTCCCGGGGGTCGGGCTGCCCGAGGGGGAGGAGGCGTGATGGCGAGGCCTGTGGGGGCCGAGCGCCTAACCGCCGGCGGGGCCTCCTCGGGAGGGCGAGGAGGGTGGCGGATGGCGCCCGTGGAGGGGCGTGTGGAGTTGGTGGGGGTCCCGTCAGAGGAACCTGCTTTCCCGGCTGTGCTGGGGCCTCATCCAGCGCCGGCTGAAGGCCCGGCCCAGTTGTGCAGCGAGGACGATAGGTAACTTTTGAGACTTTGCGAGGCTCTCTGTACAAAGTCCTTTAGGATCCATGGTCTCATTTAATCACAAGGAGCCTCTCCTTTAGATACTCCCCCCCCCCCTTTTTTTTTTGCAAACGATGATGAAGACGACGCTTCTAGAAATACTTGCCTAAAGTCACCGAGCTAGTGGTGGGAACCTTCACCGCCTCGCTGCATCCCCTCTGGCCAGGCAGGATTGGAGGGAGGGAAGGACTGGTGTGTATGCATAGGAGCCTGACCAGGGGTCACGGACTGCAGGGGGGTGGGGGCATTCGTGGGGAGGGGTTTGGGATGGCAATGGGGGGGACAGTTATGTGATACCATAATCAATAAAGAAATTAAAAAAATAATCAAAGGTTGACTTTTGCTTAGAATTTCTGAAAGGAAATTGCTAACCCTCTTGGATGGGCCTAATCCTGCCCTTCTGAACTTGAGCAGGGCCCTACCCAGAGGGGTGGAGTTGGAGGTTGGGCCACCGCAGGAACCTGGATCCTGGTTCCAGAGGCTGTGGTCTTCTTATGGGTCCTTGGCCATGCCACTGTGTCCTCTGGTGCGGAGACCGGTGCTCCTGTTGGGAAGTTTCATACGTTCATGGCTGTGTCATTTCTGTGCCTGAAGAGGGAGTGGGTCAGGGTCAGGGTGGGAGGAGGAAATGCTGGATAAGGATCTCAGCAACAGATCTGGGCACTGTTAGCTCATACCCATTTCTACCCGATGGCTGAAGTTAGAGAAAAAGAGGACCTAAAATTATGCTGTTACACACACAAAAATATGTGTGGGGGTGGGAATAAGAGAATTTGCAGGCAAACATGACAGATACAAAGTGAGACTCATGTTTTCCAGGCCATAGGTGAGCAAGAATTCCTGCGCCCCCCCCTCCCCCCCTAAACGGGCGGACATACTAAAGCAAATATAAATAAAAATTGGGATGAAAATGTGATGTTCCTATTAACTGAGGAGGCAAGTGTAGACTACTTACTGTTAAATAGAGGAACTGGAGTAAATTGCTTTGATTTGCAGATCTGGCCTTTTTATTTTGACTAAATTTATAAGGGTGGCATTGGTTAATAAAATGATACAGGTTTCCAGTGTACAATTCTCTGACCCATTGGTGAGCAAGAATCCCCTCAGGTAAAATGACGTACATACTATCAGTAATCTCTGATGTGGGAAATTTCTTTTAATTAGGAGTGTGTTTTGGGGAGTCACTTCTAACTCTATAATAAAGGTATATTGTGAAGGTCTGACTTAGGAGCTGACCTAATAGTACAGCTTTCTCCTCCCAGTTCCTTTATCAGAACTTTATTATGTCTCATTCATGTTTTGTTCATGGAACAAAATCAAGTCTTCACCTACTATATGCCAGGTTCTATTCTAGGTGCTGCTTGAGAGTAGATAGTACCATCTTTTTTTTTTTCTTTAAAAAAAAACATATTTTATTCATTTTTTACAGAGAGGAAGGGAGAGAGAGAGAGAGCTAGAAACGTCAATGAGAGAGAAACATCGACCAGCTGTCTCTTGCACACCCCCTACCAGGGATGTGCCTGCAACCAACGTACATGCCCCTGACCGGAATCGAACCCGGGACCTTTCAGTCTGTAGACCGACGCTCCACCACTGAGCCAAACCGGTTTCGGCAGATAATACCATCTTGCTGAAGTTAAGCCCTGGTCCTTAACTACATTATGGTTGATTTACACAACCTGTAGGTAACAGAAGGAAACATGTTTTACTGACGTTCTTTATTACTCTGAGGCTGCAAGGCCCACAAGATGGAATCTTCACCATCTTGTTGAAGTAATCATACTTCAGAGTTTGGAACATAGCAGGTATTCCAGTAAAATTTTCCTGAATGGAGAAGTCAGGTTTGGCTGACACGTATAGAGGTGTCAGTTAATCATTCTTCAGAAGTCCATTGTGAAAGAGTGCAAAGATAAAACTAACTGTATTCTTACTTTACAGTATGATAAGCACAGCATCCAAATTATGGATCACAATCCATTCTGTTATGAACTGACCTGAGAGTGTTGGATTCAGTATTTATAGTCCCGTTTTAAGATGGAGCATTAAAGATTTGTTAATAAAATGTAATCTCTTCAAAGGATGGTGAGGGAGTCTAGAGACATTCATAAGGAATAGTTGGAAGGATATAGGGCAGTTAGATGTAAAATTTATGAAATAGGATTCATGAAAATTTGAATGGTTGAGGTGTGTTGGGGAGCAGACGTGGTTCTTAGACACACATACACACTAATTGTAGAGCACTATGGAAACAGTATGATGTTAATTAATGAAATAACAAATGTAAGAGGAGAAAATAGGAAGCGGCCATAGTAAAGCATGAGGTTGAAACCAGATGTAGCCAGTAAAAGATAATAGGATCCTTTAAGAATTCAGAGAGATCATTTGCTTGGGGAGGAAGAAGGAGTTGATGCCAGGGAAATGCTCAGTGGTTATAGGTAATGTATTCAGAACATCTTGGTCTTGAGAGATATGCCTGGTGTGTTGGGATTAGATCAAAAGGTGGGCAAAGGTAAAAAGCAGGCAGATCAGTTTGGAGTTTTTTGCAATAATTCAGGGAAAAGATAATGGAGGCTTGGATCAAGCTGATTAGAAGTGAAAACAGTGAAGTGATTGGATTCAAGAGATATTTTAAAGGTTGTGTCAGCTAGATTTTAGGTACCTTAGACATTTGGTTGATGTAAGGTCTGAGGAAAAGAGAGGATCTATAATAATCTATAATAATAAAGGCATAATATGCTAATTAGACCAGATGTCCTTCTGAACAAAGCCAGGGCTGCAAGGGAAGCCTGGTCCCTGGATCCCAGTTGCCTGCTGGTGGCCAGAGGGAAGCCCAGGTCCCCAGAGGGAAGCCCAGGTACCGGTTGCCAGAAGGAAGCTGGTGCTGGCTGCTGGAGGAAGGAAGGCCTACTCTTTTTTTAATATATTTTATTGATTTTTTACAGAGAGGAAGAGAGAGGGATAGAGAATTAGAAACATCGATGAGAGAGAATCATCAATCAGCTGCCTCTTGCACACCCCCTACTGGGGATGTGCCTGCAACCAAGGCACGTGCCCCAGACCAGAATCGAACCTGGGACCTTTCAGTCCGCAGGCTGACGCTCTATCCACTGAGCCAAACTGGTTTCGGTCCGAAGGCCTACTCTTGCACGAATTTCATGCATCAGCCTGTAGTGTATATATAATCTTGAACTGGCAGGAAGGAATTGTCATTAACTGAGGTGATGAAGATTATAGGAGAAGCAGATTTTGAGGGGAAGACCAGGAGTTTGTTTTTAGACATGTTAAAATAGAAATCTAAATGGTAATGTCAAATATGCATTCAACTAGATATAAAACAATGAATCTTATGCTATTGTTTACATAATAAAGTTACCTCCAGACCATTTTAAGGTGAATATGGTAATATTGGAACTGTGGATCTCTTTTGATGGTCAGAAATTATTAGATTCTAATAATAGCTTTACTTTTCAGCTTTTAAGATATGTTTTATAGCTGTTTAATAATCAAAACCATTTTTTCAGTGTTTCTCTAGAATTGTATATGTCAGACATCCTGGAGTCCACCATGAATGGGCAGTTGGACCTAAGTGGGAAGCTAATCATCAAAGCTCAACTTGGGGAGGACATTCGACGAATTCCCATTCATAATGAAGATATTACTTATGATGAATTAGTGCTAATGATGCAAAGAGTTTTCAGAGGAAAACTTCTGAGTAATGATGAAGTTATCATAAAGTATAAAGATGAAGGTAAGAGTTTCTAAAGTTAGTTTTAAAAATATAAGCATTATGTGTTCTTTTGCCAATATTTCATTGAAATCTCAGAATAAAAATTTCATTCCATTCATGGTGATTTGAGTGCCTACTTCTTTTATTAAATGGGATATTTATATAGTTAGTTTTCTTTTATAAGTTAAAAATAGCTAAGGGATAGTATTACTAGAAGGGGTTTGAAGTGATAGTACACTGTCACATATTTTCACAAGCATTTCTTTTTCTCTTCAGCCTGTGCAATTCTGGCTTCATTTTTGCTTTTAAAACCAAACTTTCACTCATATTGTCCAAAGTAGAAGACATATTAGTAGGTATTGAATAAAAAAGGATTCCATGGTCAACTAAGCCTGGAAAAGTTTGTTTAAAAAAAAACAAATGTACTTCTTTATTGTAGGAAATTATGCTGATGCACATTGTCAGTTTATACCAGCAGGAGTGGGGAACATCTGGCCTGCAGGCCACACAAGGCCCGAGAAATCATTTGGTTTGGCCCTGCCAAAGCATTAGGGGCGGGTTAATTAAATGGTTGATCAAATGTAGCAGGCTAATTTTAAGTTGATAATTTTATTTGGCCTGAGAATGATGTTATAAATATCCAAATGGCCCTTGGCAGAAAAAGGTTCCCCACTGCTTTATAGCATACAGTATTCCCAGACTTACTGACCTCAAAACTACTTTTATGGAGATGGGTTTTAACATGAAAAATGTTTTATCAAACATACAGTGGAATTACAGTAGTAGACTATTTCCTTTTCTTTAAACCTGTTTTCTTTGTTAACATTTCCTGAAGTTGTACTTTAGGTGTTTACCAGTATCTTTTTTACTGCTGAATTTATCCCCAGTCTGTTTTGCTTTAACCCTAATACCCTGCACTGCTGACCATATCACTCTGTATTAAGTACTCTTATTCCTTAACGTCTGTGACACTGCTTTTTTTCATAATGTATGCCCTCACAGTATCCAAAACTAATTTTTGGGAGTCACCTATGATAAGAAACAATAAAGGAGAGCGATTTATTATTTACAATACACCAACTTTCATCTCTTTGATTTACAAATATGTGCTTTAATTTTATCACTTATAAGTGTCTTTTTTTTTTTTTTTAACTTTAGTACTTGAGATGCTTTGTTTTTACCTCAAACTTGGAATATCTTCAACTGTAACTGTTTATCTGGCTTACTCTTTTTTTTTTTTTTTAAATATATTTTTATTGATTTTTTTTACAGAGGGGAAGGGAGAGAGATAGAGAGCTAGAAACGTCGATGAGAAACACCGACCAGCTACCTCCTGCACACCCCCCACCAGGGATGTGCCCGCAACCAACGTAATGTACCTGACTGGAATTGAACCTGGGACCTTTCAGTTTGCAGACCGACGCACTACCACTGAGCCAAACCGGTTTCAGCTGGCTTACTCTTTTTAAAAAAATATATATTTTATTGATTTTTTTACAGAGATGGAAGAGAGAGGGATAGAGAGTTAGAAACATGGATGAGAGAGAATCATTGATCAGCTGCCTCTTGCACACCCCCCACTGGGATGTGCCCACAATCCAAGTACATGCCCTTGACCAGAATCGAACGTGACGCTCTATCCACTGAGCCAAACCGGTTTCGGCATCTGGCTTATGGCTTACTCTTAACTCTCTTATTTTTGTTTAGGTCTGGCAGGGTCAGCCAGCTTTTTCTTTAAAGGATCAGATATATATTTTAGATGATTACATAAGCCCTGTGTCTCGTCATCTTTTCTTCAAAACCTTTTAAAAGTGTAAGAATCATTTTTAGTTTGCAGTCTAAACAGGGATTTATTCATTGGTTGTTATTTGTGGACCCCTAACTTAGGGTGTCCTTATTGTTGAAACCTTGTTCTCTACATCTAGTTACCACATACATTTATTGTCCATGGTGTTTTTAAGAGTTTTGAATTGTACAGGTTTGTTTTCTGCTGGCTTACATATTTTTTTTTTTTTTTTTTTTTTTTGCCATCAGAGATATTCTATTTCTGTTGTGGAATTTAGAAAAGAAAAAGGGCAGTTATAAAGAGTTTCCTTCTTTTACATATATACTATAATTTTCCTTAAAATGTTTTTATGAATAGAATCCTTGAAGTTGAACATTAGATATGTTTATTACAAGAAATACGTCTGGTTATAAAGAACTGAAAACAATGATAAAGTTCTCTGTATGGCTTTTATTGCTAGTTATGGCCAAATCTGTCCAACCAGTGATAAAATTGGTGTAGAAGAACAGCCTCTCAGCCTCCCGAGAACAAAACTCCTTTTCCAAAGCAACTGTCTTTGAAGATAACCTGCACAGGACCCTCTGACTAACACCTTGCCTATAGCTGCTTTTCTTTTTTAAAAAAAATATATTTTACTGATTTTTCACAGAGAGGAAGGGAGAGAGATAGAGAGCTAGAAACGTCGATGAGAGAGAAACATCGACCAGCTGCCTCTTGCACACCCCCTACTGGGGATGTGCCCGCAACCCAGGTACATGCCCTTGGCCGGAATCGAACCTGGGACCTTTCAGTCCGCAGACGGACACTCTACCACTGAGCCAAACCGGTTTCGGCTATAGCTGCTTTTCTGTTCTTGCTCTGTAGACAACATTTTTCTCTCTTGCCTAGCTAGCCCTTTGAAAGCTTTTGAAATAGGCGATTGATATGCAAATTATCTTTTTCTTTTTTTTTTAATCCTTGGGATCTAGGGGATTTCAGAATCTAGTGTATATGAATATTTTTGGAGGGGTGAGTTGATAATTTTTATCTTAAAATGGTCAGTGGCCTGAAAGACTAGTGTCTACCCATCATTAGGGCGATTCTGTAAAAATCTTTTTTGCAAAACTTTTAGTTAATGTTATATATATGCCTTCTCTGCCATTTGTGTCAGGGATGTTTTAATGTACTTAGAATTAAAATTTGAACCTTGAAAATATTACTTTAACTTTTGATAAATACCGAGTGTCCCCCAAAAATGTATACACACTTTAATAGCTGATAGCTCTATTTTGAGAATGAAATGTATTTTAATAACCACTGCCTTTATAATTATTCAAAGTATGTGTATATATTTTTTTGGTGACACCGTATATATTTAAATTTTCTGGACTGGAAAGATGTTTATCTGAACTAGTAATTTGTGATATTGCTACCATGCATCTCCTGGTGACTAGTGAAAGATGACTTAATGCATTAATGTTAGCTATGTTTTGGCTATTCTTATAAAAGTAATAAGCAAAATAGGTTTTTTATTCTCTTGAACATACATTTTCCCTAGATCCCTTAATGTTTGTAAGGTTATTTTTAAGGAATTTTGGATAATTATTTTTTTAAAAATTCTTTATTGTTTAAAGTATTAGGAGTCTCCTTTTTTCCCATTGACTTCTCCCCTGCCACTCCCTCCTCCAAGCACAAGCCCTTACTCCTCCTACTGTCCGGGTCCATTGGTTTTGCTCATGTGTATACATACAAGTCCTTTGGTTGATCTTACTGTTTGTAAGGTTTTTATGGGAGATCCTATTTATGCAATCTGGGTTTTGGATTTTAATTTAATGTAGATTCTAGTTTACCACTGATATAAGTTTGAAACTAATGTCTTTTTTTTTTTTTTTATCCAGATGGAGATCTTATAACAATTTTTGATAGTTCTGATCTTTCCTTTGCAATTCAGTGTAGTAGGATACTGAAACTGACATTATTTGGTAAGTGGTAAACTTTTTAATAAATTTACTATTCATTGTATTTTTATTAAAGTCTTTTCTAGTTTTTTACTTTTAAAGACAGAATTAAAGGATAAGTTTTCAGTTATATCAATTTTTGAATTATTAAGGCTTAATTATACCCTGTTTCCCCGAAAATAAGACAGTGTCTTATATTAATTTTTGCTCCCAAAGATGCACTAGGTCTTATTTTTAGGGGATGTCTTATTTTTCCATGAAGAAGAATACGGTACACATTTATTGTTAAATGAAAATAAAGGAAATTTATTACCTGTATACGGTATGGTAGTACATTAGTTGTCAACACAAACCAGACAAACTGAATCCTGCAGTATCAAGAATTTACTCATTTATTCAAAAACAATGATGTCCATCTTCTGGAACATCATAACAATCCAATTCCTGAATTTCCTGGTGAATTTCTTGTGACTCCATTTCCTTCAGAATCAGTGGACCAAATCTCTCATGTTTAGCCTAGGGAGGAGGGGTTATGTTCGGGGGTTGCCTTATATTTGATTTAGAAGGAAACCTGTAAGTAGGTCTTATTTTTGGAGGATGTCTTATTTTCAGGGAAACACGGTATGTATGTAACTATAATTATACATATATATGATTAATAGAAAGTAGTCATATTTAAAATTCCCCATTGCTCCATTATCCTAAATCTCTGGGCAGTGCTGCATGTGGCCTGATGTTACCTGCTTCATGGTGCCTGTTTTTGTGTCAGGCCCTGCTGCTAGATGCCACACACTCCCCCCCCCCCAATGCATGAAACCTGTGCACTGGGCCTTTAGTCTTAGAAATAAAAAGAGGCATAACTATAAAATAATAGTAAAAACATTTAAAAAATCTATATTATGACTACTGTGAATAACTTTCAATCTGAAAACTCCAATAATATGGACAATTTCCTAGGTGAATTTAATATATAAGTACTAGAGGCCTGGTGCATAAAATTCATGCACACTGGGGTGTATCCATCAGTCCAGCCTGGACCTTCTCTAATCTGGGACCTCTCGAGGGATGTCCTACTGCCCAAATAGGCAAAGATGGAATCTGTAATAACTCATTTTAGGAGGTTATAACTTTAACATGAAAACCACTCAAGGAAAATGCAGATTAGTGTCACATAAATGGGCAGTAGGACATCCCTCTCACAATCCAGGACTGCTGGCTCCCAACTACTCACCTGCCTGCTTTGCTGATTGCTCCTAACTGCTTCTGCATGCCAGTCTGATCCCCTAACCTCTCCCCTGCCAGCCTGATTGATGCCTAACTTCTCCCTGCCAGCCTGATTGTCCCTGACTGCCCTCTCCTGCAGGCCTGGTCACCCCAACTGCCCTCCCCTGCAGGGCTGGTCCTCCCAAACTGCCCTTCCATGCAGGCCTTGCCCCCCTAACTGCCCTCCCCTACAGGCCTGGTCTCCCCCAACTGCTCTCCCCTGCAGGCCTGGGTCCCCCCCAATTGCCCTTCCCTGCAGGCCCAGTCCCCCCATATTCCCTCCTTTGCCTGCCTGCTCACCCCTAACTGCCCTTCCCTGCAGGCTTGATCATCCACAACTGCCCTCCCTTGCAGGCCTGGTCCCTCCCAACTGCCCTCCCCTGCCGGCCATCTTGTGTGTGGGAGTGATGGTCAATTTGCATATTACCATTTTATTACATAGGATTTAAAAAATAGCAAATTTGTCCCAATAAACATTGAAGAAATCAATTATTCTACTAAATATTTAAGGAACAGTTGATCCCAAATTATACAAACTATTTCAGAGAATAGGCAAAGATGGAATCTGTAGTAACTCATTTTAGGAGGTTATAACTTTAACATGAAAACCACTCAAGGGAAATGCAGATTAGTCTCATAAACCTAGATACAAAATACTACTACTAATAAATCAAATTCAGCAGTGAATATTAAAATATATCACTGCCAAGATTTTTTCATCCTAGGAATACAGGATTGACTTAAATAAAATCTATTAATACCACTGTTCATATAGGGGCAAAACTGAACCATCTTCTCTAAAAGAAAAAGTATTCAGACCCCAGTCTTGTTAAAAAGTCATAGCAAACTAGCAATAGAAGGGAAGTCTTTAACCTTATATTGGGCAACTATCACATAGAACAATTGCTATGTTCTCTAATATAAAAGGATTATAGCCGAAACCGGTTTGGCTCAATGGATCGAGCGTCAGCTTGGGGACTGAAGGGTCCCGGGTTCGATTCTGGTCAAGGGCATGTACCTTGGTTGCGGGCATATCCCCAGTAGGGGGTGTGCAAGAGGCAGCTGATCGATGATTCTCTCTCATCGATGTTTCTAACTCTCTGTCTCTCTCCCTTCCTCTCTGTACAAAATCAATAAAATATATTAAAAAAATAAAAAAAATAAAAGGATTATAAAGTGTAACTAAAATACTAATAATTATAACAGATAATGAGGTAAGTGAAATGAGGCAAGATTGTTATGGAAAAATATGTAAAATTTTAATATGAATCATGAAGCAGGGGTATGCGTTTTGGGGAGATCTTCCCAGGGAAACTTAATTATGTCTGTATTGTTTTATTTCTTAATGATCAGGAGCAAAGATGGAAAAATATTAAGATTAACGAAGATGTTAATGAGTTTATCTTTTTGTGTGCTTGGAATAATTCATTAAAGTCATAAAGTTATACTAATAAAAATACACAATTATGGAATAGGGAATTTAAACTTATAAAACATGGTATTCCAAGTGCCACTAAATAGATGACCTCAGATCATAGGCCACATTAGGGATATATCTGCTGAGTTTTTCATTGAGAGATCACCAGGATCACATCTGTAGTTGAACAAAGTTGGGTGTATTTGCATTAATTTTATATGGATAGTCTTAAATACAAAAAGGACACGGTAAGCCCAAATAACTTAGAAGGAAGAAAATAATAAACTGCAGAGATTAATTAGAATTCAGGGACTGGACTTAGCAAACCTCTGTTAAGTTTATTCAAGAAGAAAAAGGGTACAAATAAGCAACATTAGAAATGCAAAGGGACATAACTACAAATACTTCCGTAGTGAGGAGGACAATAGGCTGTTTCAGTAAAAGTGTTAGAAAGGGTTTTTCATAGGTTTTGAGCTTGTGTTAGATGATTTTTGATAAGGTTCAAGGAAGTGGGACTTTGTTCTAGACTGGATGCTCTCAGGAAGTGGTAGGGGTAGTCCTGTGATTGGGCACCTTACTAAATCTTAAACCAGAGGTGGAGGAATGAATTAAGGCTAAAGCTGCAATTGTTAAAAAGCAGCAGTCACTCATATTAGGGATGTTTGATAATTTTTATGGTTGGTCAGTGTTCTTGTTTTTGTCTTGAGTTCTTGCATGATTATGGAATGGCTTTGTTTTTGTCTTGACTCTTGATCACAGTAACGGAGTGACCTGTTCTGATTGTTGGTGTTCTTTGAAATACTTCATGTTCAGCAAGAGAACATCATAGCCTACCTGAGTGCCAGGCCAGCTTCCAGCAGCATTAACACTACCAGACCAGTTCCTGGCTGCTTTTCTCTTTCTCAGATATTAGAGAGAAACCAGTCACCCCCTAAAAGCTAAGAATTGATACATTGTAGGTAGGAGGTGATATTAATCTCCTCATAACTATATAGGGAGTATAAAATACTGGTGAGTTGTGTTCTAAAAGCTTACATTAGTAGTTTGATGTTTGAAATATATTTAAGAATCTCTCTGAACCTTTACTTTCAAATAGATTTCCTTTTCTAATATGATGCCTTAGGAATTCGTATATATGTATACTGGCAATGCATAAAGCCTTTTAGTTTAATTTTTGAGCCCCTACCTTGAGGTTTGTATTCAGAGCCTGGTGTCACTTTTTTTAAATTCAGCTGAAAGTCATTTGGACAAAATGGGTAATTAAAAGAGGTAATGTTGCCTTCATTAAAAACAAACTAATTATTGAGAAATCTCTTGACTTTTTGTTACTCAGATGCTGCTTTTGGAAGTATAGTTGACTTGAACAATGCCTGATTAGGGGACTCAACCCCACACACAGTCAAAAATCTGCATATAAATTTTGAGTCCCTGCTAATAACCTACTGTTGACTAGAATCCTCACAATTAACACAAATGGTCGATGAACACATTTTATATGTTATGTGTATTATATGCTGTTTCTTACAATAAAGTAACCTAGAGAAAAAATGTTAAGAAAATTATAAGGAGGAGAAAATATATATGCTGTATTTTTTGAAAAAAAAAAAAAAAATTGTGTATAAGTTGGCCTTCATAATTCAAAGTCATGTTGTTCAAGGGCCAACTATACTTTTAAGTATGGTAGTGTGGATTCATGAATTCTGCATATTTTTGTTTTAATAGATTACTTTTAGGTCAATTATTTTAGGTAGTAAATTTTTTTTTTTTAGGTCAAAAGGAGGCAAGAGGGATAGCAGACCTATTAGTCATGTACCATTTAACATGAATGTGTAGAATAAAGTGTTTATTGTGTTATTTCAAGAATATGGAAGAATAGATAAAATGAGTTTTTGAAGGTATTTAATTTCTATTAGAACCAAGATGGAGATGTAGGTAAACACTGGTACTTGCTGCCTTCCACAACTACATCAAAATTCCAACTAAAGCCGAAGCCAGTTTGGCTCAGTGGTAGAGCGTCGGTCCCGGGTTCGATTCCGGTCAAGGGCATGTACCTTGGTTGCAGGCACATCCCCGGTAGGGGGTGTGCAATAGGCAGCTGGTCGATGTTTCTCCCTCATCAACGTTTCTAGCTCTCTATCTCTCTCCCTTTCTCTCTGTTAAAAATCAATAAAATATATTTAAAAAAAATTCCAACTAAAATACAGAACAACCGTCATTCAAAATTGCTTGAAATCTGGGCTTTGTGGAAATCCTACAACTAGAGAAGTAAAGGAGAAAGCACCTCAAATCTGGCAGGAGGGTGTAGGTGCAGAATAGGCTGGTCCAAAACCACATAGTGTTTTTATTTTATTTTATTTTATTATTATTTTTTTTAATAGGGAGAGAGATTGTGGTTGCAGAGGCTACCTATGAGAAGCAAGGGTTCCCATCCCCACACCAGACCCCCAGCCCAGGGTTCCAGTACTGTGAAGAGAAGTCCCTGTAAAAACCAGCAGGGATTCTGGCTGACTGACATGGAGGCTGCTGGAGACCCAGCATTCCTCTTAAAGAGTGGGCACACAAACTTACATGTCCCACTTCCTCTGAGCTCCAGTGCCGGGCAGCAGCTTTGGGGAACCCAGGGACATATGGGGAGGAACTTGATTGTTTGGCATTAGGGCAGGAACTTGGGGACGGCTTCTCCTAGATGGGGGTGTTCACAGGGGTCATTGTTTCTGTGCTGGGACCTCCCCTGTCACAGAGATGACTCGCAGCCATATCTGAGTTTTCATTATCCTGGCTCACATTGTTCCCTCTGCCCTGGTGATCTCCAGGGACCCCTGCCCCATCCAATTTGCAACCCTACCCAAGCTGTTTGCAGCTGCTTTTCTATATAAACTAGAGGTCCGATATACAAAATTCATGTAAGAGTAGGCCTGCCTTCCTCTGACTGCTGGCACCAGCTTTCCTCTGGCACCCAGGACCCAGGCATTCCTCTGGCCGCCAGCAGGCACCAGGGACCCGGGCAACCCTCTGGCCACTGCCAGGCACCTGGGATCCAGGCATCCCTCTGGCTGCTGGTAGGCACCTGGGACCTGGGCTTCCCTCACAGCCCTGGCTTCTTCTGGAAGGACGTCTGGTCTAATTAGCATATTATGCCTTTATTATTATAGATGGCTGTTCTGGCTCTGGTTTCAGACTTTCCTAAAATCTTTGAAACAAGCATCAGCTGGCATCAACATGTCCCAAACCTATCAATAAGAGGCCCAAGAAAACCAGAATTAGCCTCAGCCTGCCTTGCTTCACAGCTGGACTTTCCTGGGCACTTCAAAGCCCAATACTGAGTCGCTGCCATCTGCAGATCTCAATTCCCGGTGGGTGGCCCAAGGCAGTGGTTGACTTTGTAACTCCTGAGAGGCCCCAGAGCCAGTGTACCTGGTGAACAACTTTAAACCATACCAGATTACAACTCTACACATACATAAGCAACACATTCCTGGGGCAGACTCAGTGAGTACCAAAGCTCCACTGAAGCAAATCCTCCATAGGGATATTTCCTGCGCAATAACTCTTCCACTGTAGTCACAGCTGGTCCTCACAGCCAATTGGCTTGAGCAATCAAGGTTCAACTACAACAGAACTGTGCAAACAGCCCACATGGGGGTTCACCTAGAATGCGCAGCTCAGGTTGACTAGGGAGGTTGAGCCACTGTGCCCTACAGGACACCTATTTCATACACAAGGCCACTCTACTAATTCCAGGAGACAGGAACTCTACCTAATACATGTAAAGAAACACAGGGAAGCAGCCAAAATGCAGACAAAGAAAAATGTCACAAATGAAAGAAACAGAAGAAAGCAAAATAATACAGGGTTCAAAATAATGGTTATAAAGTTGCTCAAGCATCTTAATGAGAGCTTCAAGGGATTTAGTGAGACTTTCGAGGACCTTAAAACTTCAAAGACATGAAAAAGGACCAGTCAGAAATTAAGCGTAAACTAACTGAAATAAAGAATATTTTTCAGGGATTTGACATTAGAGTAGGGATTCGATAGTAGGGTAAGGATTCTGGGAAATCAACAATTTGGAATATGAGGAATCAAAAAACACCTAATAAGAGCAAAGAGGAAAAAAAAAAAAGAGTCCAAACATACGAAGATAGTAAGGAGCCTCTGGGGGATAACTTCAAGCGTACCAACATTCACATTATGGAGTTCCACAAGGAAGAGAGAGAGCAAAATATTAAAAACTTGAATAATGACAGAAAACTTCTCCTACCTGGTGAAAGAAATAGACTTAAAAGGGCAGGAAGCACAGAGTCCCAATCAAGAGGAACCCAAAGAGGCCCACACCAAAACACATAATAAAGACAAAGAAGGAATCTTAAAAGCATTAAGAGAAAAGCAGTTAGTTGCCTACAAGGGATTGCCCATATGACTCTCAGCTGATTTCTAAATAGAAACTTTGCAGGCTAGAGGGAGTGGCAAGAAATATTCAAAGTGATGAATAGTAAGGATCAACAAGATTCCTCTGTCCAACAAAATTATCATTTAGTGTTGGAGATAAAGAGCTTCACAGATAAGAAAAAGCTAGAGGAATTCATAACCACCAAACCAGTATTTCTATCCTATCTAATAAAAGAGTAATATGCAAATTGACCGTCACTCCAACACACAAGATGGCTGCCCCCATGTGATCGAAGATGGCTGCTCCGATGTGGACACAAGATGGCTGCTACAAGATGGTCAGTTAGGGAGGGCAGTTGGGAGAGACCTGGCCTGCAAGGGAAGGCAGTTGTGGGCGATCAGACCAGCAGGGGAGGGCAGTTGGGAGGGACCAGGCCTGCAGGGGAGGGCAGTTGGGGGTTACCAGGCCTATAGGGGAGGTAAGTTAGGGGCAATCAGGCTGGCAGGGGAGTGGTTTAGGCAGTGATCAGGCTTGCAGGCAGAAATGGTTATGGGCAATCAGGAAGGCAGGCTGGTGAGCATTTGGGAGCTAGCAGTCCTGGATTGTGAGAGTGATGTCCCAGATTGGAGAGGGTGCAGGCTGGGCTGAGGGACCCCCATGTATGAATTTCATGCACCGGGCCTCGTGTGTGTGTGTGTGTGTGTGTGTCTCTCTATCTATATACCTATATACCTATATACACACACACACACACACACATTTTATATATATATATATATATATATATATATATATATATATATATATATATATAATTATTTTTTCCCCCTCTTGATTTTAGAGAGGGTGAGAGAGAAACATCAATGATGAGAATCATTGATTAGCTGCCTCCTGCATGTCCCTTACTGGGGATCAAGCTTGCAACCTTGGCATGTGACTTTGACCGGAATTGAACCTGGGAGCCTTCAGTCTGCAGGCCAATACTTTTATCTACTGAGCCAAACCAGCCAGGGTGAAGAGTATTCTTTAAGTCACAGACATCTTCAAACTACGGCCCGCGGGCCACGTGTGGCCCGCAGAGGAGTCTGATCCGGCCTGCCAGGTTTTTTGGGCAGTGAGCACAGCTGAGGTGTTACAGTAGGAATTAGTAGTTCATATAGTCTGGCCCTCCAGCTCTCTGAGGGACCGTGATCTGGCCCCCACTTTAAAAAGTTTGAGGACCCCTGCTTTAAGAAGAGAAGGAGGAGGCTTATAGGACCTTCAGTCTGCAGGCCAATGCTCTATCCACAGAGCCATACCGGTTAGGGCAAAAGGTATTTTTGTAGAAGGAGGTAGAAGAGGAAGATGGGGAGAGGCAGGGTAGAGAGAGGGGGGAATGAGGGAGAGAAGGAGGAAGAGGAAAAATATGAATAATGGCAACAAAAAAGATAAAAAACAATATGGCAACAAATACATATCTATCAACAATTGAATATAAAAATTAAAATAAGTGAACTGCTGCGTCCACTGATGGTGCCAAGTGATTGGGACCGGTGCCAGGTGCTGGCAGTGGGTGTGAGAGGTGGCTGCTGGCCCTGATTATTACCCCTCAGGAGCAGGGGGAGGTGGAGAAAGCCGGAAGGACCATGGTGTGAGGGAGCAAAGCATTTTCAGCAACCACCAGAGGCTCTCCCGATGACAGCGACAAGCGCCCAACGTTGGTCTGGTGCCTCTACTCAGCTGCTCTACCATCCCACTGCAACTGATGCCCACCATGTTCCGCACATGCCCCCTGGTGGTCAGCGCTCATCACAGTGACCAGTTATTCTACTGTATGGTCTATTTGCATATTAGGGTTTTATATATATATATATATAGATAGATAGATAGATAGATAGATAGATAATGTAGTGCCTATGGACACAGACATTTGGGAGGTGAAGGCCTGGGGTGGGATGGGAACTGGGAGGAGGGGGCAATGAGGAAAAAGGGGGGGACATCTGTAATACTCTCATAATAAAGATTTAAAGAAGTGATATCAGCTTTCTATAGGTTTTAATTTATTTTACTGTCATTAAATTCTTGTAAGAAACCTTTTTAAAGAATGTGATCATAAGCTGTAGATATGGATCAGCAAAGACTAATGAATATGTATTTTTTCCAAAAAGTAAATTATTAGCAATAAATAATCCTTTCCTTAAAAATAGTTACCATTCAAATGACATTAATAAGTATCTTGTTTGATTTTGTTTCACTTTTTAAATAAATTTTATTTATTTTTTCTTAGTGCATATTATTCTGTCAATATACTTATACATTTATTGTATATATACAATATACATTCCCTAATTTTAACAAAATTAATTTTTTTATTTCAGTTAATGGCCAACCAAGACCCCTTGAATCAAGTCAGGTGAAATATCTCCGTCGAGAGCTCATAGAACTTCGAAATAAAGTGAATCGCTTATTGGATAGCTTGGAACCACCTGGCGAACCAGGACCTTCCACCAGTATTCCTGAAAATGGTAGACTGTGACCCCACTTTTAAAAAAAGTTATCCTTACATCATTTTGCAGATTAAAAAAACTAAATGCTCCTCAGTAGGAGTTCAGATGGCAGTCCATTGTCATATCTTTTTATTTTTACCTTTGCTAGTATTCATATGTGTATTCTCAAAACCTGGCTGTTCATCAGGATTGTTGGGGGATTTTATTATACCAAATAGAGGCCCGTTGCATGAAATTTGTGATGGAGGGTGGAGGGGGTTCCCTCAGCTCAGCCTGCACCCTCTCCAATCCAGGACCCATCGTGGGGGATGTCCAACTGCAGTTTAGGCCTGATCCCCAGGACCTGCACCCAGCCTACATTCTCACACAATCTGGGACCACTGACTCCTAACTGCTCGCCTGCCTGCTTGTCTGATCGCCCCTAACTGCCCTCCACTGCTGGCCTGGTCACTCCCAACTGCCCCTCCCCCCACCCCCTAGCCAGCCTGCTCGCTCCTAATTGGTCCCCCCCCCCCCCCCCCAGCCTGGTCGCCCTCACCTGCCCCCCCCCCACCCCCCCCATGCCATCCTGGTTGCCTTTTATTGCCCCCTATGCTGGCCTGGTCACCCCCAACTGCCCCCCACTGGCCTGGTCACTCTCACTGTTCCCTCCCCTCCCCGCCCCCCTGCCCACCTAGTTGCTCCCAAATGCCTGCCTGCAGGCCTAGTTTCCCCACACAGCCTGCTGCTCGGTCATTTGGTCATCCCTCACTACCCCCCTTTGCTGACCTGGTCGCCCCACACAGCCTGCTGCTCAGTCATTTCATCTCCCCTCACTAACCCCCCGCTGGCCTGGTCACCCCACACAGCCTGTGCTTGGTCATTTTGTCGCCCCTCACTAACCCCCCGCTGGCCTGGTCACCCCACACAGCCTGTGCTCGGTCGTTTCGTTGCCCCTCACTAACGCCCCGCTGGCCTGGTCACCCCACACAGCCTGTGCTCGGTCTTTTCGTCGCCCCTCACTAACCCCCCCTGCCAGCCTGGTCACCCCATGCAGCTTGTGCTCCGTTGTTTGGTCGCCCCTCACTAACCCCCCCTGCCAGCCTGGTCACCCTCAATTGTCGCCTCGCTGGCTAGATTGTCCCTCACTGCTCCCCCCTGCCGGCCTGGTTGTCCCCAACTGCCCCCCGCCACTGGCCTAGTTGCCCCTAATGCCCTCCATGCTGGCCTGGTCACCCCTCACTGCCCTCCTCTGCCGGCCTGGTTGCCCCACACAGCCTGCTGCTCGGTCATTTGGTTGCCCCTCACTAACCTTCCTGCCGGCCTGGTCACCCCATGCAGCCTGTTTGGTTGTCCTTTCGGTTGCCATGGTCACTTAGGCTTTTATAAAAATAGATAGATTCCTAGGTCTTATCTATTGGAGAGCAGACCCAGGAATCCCATTTATAAAGTGCTCTCTTGGTGATTGTTTCAGTCTAATTTTAGACTTGTGGGTTTGTCACATAGGTAATTTTTCAACCCCCTTGAATCCTTTTCAGTGTAATATTAGGTCCAGTAATAATTAATGTCCTTTTCTAATACTTTTTTAAATCGAATTTATTTAAACAATACAACAAAATTTAATCAACAATATAGTTGCCGTTGTTTTCTACTACTTGTGCCCAACACTCAGGAAGCATTTTAATCCCTCTGTTGTAAAATTCTTGTGATTTTGATGCAAAAAATTCGGTCAATGCATTTTTGAGGCATTCTTCATTATTAAATTTTTTTCCAAGAAGAAAGTTTTGCAAAGAACGAAACAAATGGTAATCGGAAGGGGCAATATCAGGAGAATATGCAGGTTGAGGGAGAACTTCCCATTCCAACTGGCGCAGTTTTTCAGCAGTGATTCTTGCAGTATGCGGTTGTGCATTATCGTGGTGAAGAATTACGCCCTTCCGATTAATCAGCGCGGGTTCTTTTTCTCTTAAAGCTTGGGCTAACCTTTCCAATTGGGCACTATACACTGCACTTGTAATGGTTTGGTTAGATGGTAAAAGTTCATAATGAAGAATTCCTTTAAAATTCCACCAAACACACAACATCACTTTTTTCGCATGCAAGTCAGGTTTTGGCGTGGGCTGCGGAGCCTCATTTTTGTCCAACCATTGAGGCCGCCTTTTCAAATTAACATACAGCACCCATTTTTCATCTCCGGTAACAATTTGCTCTATAAACGACAAACGGTTTTGACGAGAGAGAAGCGAACTGCAAATTGTGACTCTTTGATTAAGGTTGTTGTCGGTCAACTCATGAGGAACCCATTTTCCAAACTTTTGGACTTTGCCAAGTGCACACAATTGATTGGAAATTGTTTTTTGTGAACAATTTAAAGTTGTCGCAAGTATAACTGGGTAATTTGAGGATTTTGCACCAAAAGAGCTTGAAGAGCTTCTTGATCAAAATTGGACACACGGCCTCGACCACTCTTGTCATCTAACGAAAAATTTCCCTCGCGAAATTTCTCAAACCAACGCTGGCATTTTCTGGCGCTAACTGCATCTTGACCAAGAGCACTACAGATGTTTTTTGCAGCCTCACTTGCTTTTCTTCCTAATTGGAACTCGTAAAGCATGCAGTGCCGAATACGCTCTTCATCTGCCATCTTCTTAGCCCTAGTTTTGCAACAAAAGCCAAACCAAACACAAACTTTTTCAAGCAAAACTTGTTAATTGCACTTCACACGTTCTGTAGATACCATGTGTTTGAAGGTTATGTCAATACAAGTCAACGCCAATCAAGATTTTAAACGAATGTTAAAAACGACATTAATTATTACTAGACCCGATAGTTAATGAACCTTAACAATTAAAATAATTTCGTTTCAGTTGGTATGCAAGTATTTTCAAGTAAAAAATAATTCTAGCCCTGGCTGGTTTGGCTTAGTGGTTAGAGCGTTGGATCAAAGGGTCATGGGTTCTATTCCCAGTCAGGGGTTTCTGGTCCAGGGCACATAACTTTTGGTTGCAGGATCCATCCCCAGCCCAGGGTGTGAGTGGGAGGCAATCAATCGGTGTTTCTTCCTCTTCCTCTTTCTCTTTCTCCCACTTCTCCCTCCCTTCCATTCTGTCTAAAAATCAATGGAAAAAAGATTCTTGGGTGAAGATAAAAAAAAAAAAAATCTAGATTAGTGTATTCAAATGGTGTATTGTAAAGTTTATCTTAACAATTTTTAATTAAAATATGCAAAGAAAAATTAATTTCCATTTTATAGATGGCATGTACTATTTACATTCATATGAAATAAGATTTATCAGTAAATTTGGAACTGACAGAAATATGCAGCTATCTATGGTTTTCAGTGCTCTACCTTTGCAGTGGTTCTTGGACACTTGCTTCCTTTATGAAGCAGATAATTCGGAGGCTACCTTAGATACTGATTGACCTGTTACAGTAGCTCTAACAGCTAGCTAACAGAGTTACTAGTAGGCGGGTGGACATATATTGTATTTTCTGATGGATTTAGTTTGCAATTGGAAGGATGCACAGGTAGTGGAAGGTAGTAGCGTGAGGATGAATAATTTGTAAGATTGACGTGATATGCTCTTGTGGGGAGCATATCACGGAATTAGAGGAAGGAAAATTGGTGAGGATGATGGATAACTGGGGGACTTATTTTATTTATTTTTATTTTTATTTATTTTTTTGGGGGGGGGACTTATTTTAAAGAAGTATGTATTCATAGGAGTTTTCTTCTAGAAATTTAGGAAATATTAGTATAACCAGTGGAATGATAAGAATGAATGATACAAGCCTTTATGTGCTTATATACCCCTTAGTACTTATGTTTTCTTTTATAAGATAAATTTTCTTGATTAAAGATGTGATCTAATACCATGTTTATTTACTTGCTTGGTAACAAAAAATTGATTACTACTGTTAATTGAGTAAATCGTTAGCAATATATTTTTACTTGTATATTTTGTTCTGTTTTTATATCTTTCTTTGTCTTCATGTCAGATTCCTATTTGTAAAATGTAGGTTATTCCTGAATCCCTTTACTTTTACAAAGTAGTAGTATAAATACCTATTGATACTTTAGTATCCTTAGAAGAAAAAAATGGTTTTAAATGTATCCTGCTCATAATGTTTAAAATTTTATTTTTCCATTTTAAAAATAGTATATTATAGAAACTTTAAACTTATATGAAAGTAGACATAATACTGTAATGAATCCCATGAACGTACACCCAACTTCAAGTCATAGTCATCATCATGTCATCTATACTCCACCAATTTCCACTCCTTCCATATTATTTTGAACAGATCCCAAACACATTTCATTTTGTCTCTAAGGACTTAATTAAATAAGTATTTGAAACAAAAACATATCAAGTTAAAATAATGCTTTTAGTGTATTGGTTGGCTTGGAATTTTCATGTAATCTAGTAATAGACCAGTAGACAAGTAGAAATAAAACATAAACGTTGATAATTGTAACTTTAATTAGTATCTTCTTTTACAAAATAAGTGTCCAGTATGTGTCTGATATTAGGTATAGGTCTTGGGACTCCAAGAACTAAAAAAAAAAATAGAGTAATTTTTTTCTCTCTATTTGTTAAGGAACATATATATATATATATATATATATATATATATATATATATATATATATATATATATTTATCTGATAACTTTTAGGGAAAAAATGTTGATATAATTTTTTGAAAAAGCTGTTATTTATCTTGTATTTTTTTTTCTTCTTTTTTTTTTAGTAAATGTATTTTATTGATTTTTTTTTACAGATTGGAAGGGAGAGGAACAGAGAGCTAGAAACATTGATGAGAGAGAAACATCGATCAGCTGCCTCCTGCACACTCACTACCGGGGATGTGCCCGCAACCAATGTACATGCCCTTGACTGGAATTGAACCTGGGACCTTTCAGTCTACAGACTGATGCTCTATCCACTGAGCCAAACCGGTTTTGGCTTGTATTTCTTTTTGACTATTTTTTTTTTAATTTAAAAATTAAAAATGTAAATAAGTATCAAAGTAGAATGATCTCTAATCTTGTGTTCAGAAATACTTGATAACATTTTAGACTATATACACTTATATACAGGGTGGGCAAAAGTAGGCTTAGAGTTACTTGTATGGAAAATAATATAGTAATGAATAAATACAAGAATAAATTGTTTCGTGTGCTCACAACTGTAAACTAACCTTTGCCTCACCCTATATTTCCCTATATTCCTTTTTGTTAATGAGTATAGATAAAATGGAAATAAGTTTTTGTTTTTTTCCTCTTATAGATACTATGGATGGGAGGGAAGAAAAGCCTGCTGCTTCTGATTCTTCTGGAAAACAGTCTACTCAGGTTATGGCAGCAAGTATGTCAGCTTTTGATCCTTTAAAAAACCAAGATGAAATCAGTAAAAATGTCATGTCAGCGTTTGGCTTAACAGATGATCAGGTTTCAGGTAAGTTAGTTCCTTCCTCTCATTATTCATTTGGTCTCTCTTTCCTTCCCTCCCTTTTCTTCTCTCAGAGAAGGATAATTTGGATATAGTGAGGTGCACAACTCTTAAGGTTCAGTAAATTTTACATATGTATACACCTATATAAAACCCCAACTATATCAAGATGTAGGTGATTTCCAGCTTCCAGAAAACTTTCTCATATCCTCTCCCAATTAGTAGAAAACTCCTCTTCATAGAATAATCACTATTTGGTTTAGGTAAATTTTATCAAAAGTAGAAATCAGAAACCTTATTTTTTAAAAATAATATTGTTTCATGATTAAATTATTTACTTGGTCTCTCTTCTGATCAGAAATTAGAAAAATTTAAATGTACATTTCTGGCTAATTTGCTTTAGTGTAGAAAGTGCTTTTATATGAATATACTTTTTAAAATTATTTTTACTGATTTCAAAGAGGAAGGGAGAAGGAGAGAGAAACATCAGTGACAAGAGAGAATCATTGATTAGCTCCCTCCTGCATGCCCCCTACTGCGACCAAGCCTGAAACCCTGGCATGTGCCCTTGACTGGGAATTGAACTGTGACCTCCTGGTTCATAGGTCACTGCTTAATCGCTGAGCAACACTAGCCAGGCTATATGAATATTTTAAATCTTGTAACAACACCCATACTGTGTTTTCTTTTTTTATTTCTTCAACATTTTTTGCCTCTTTCTCTTGGGGTTCCACATGCATTGTAGAGCCTCTGAGTTTCATTCCCATCCTCCCCCAATCCCCGCACTATTTTTTCTTACTATTTTTCAGTTGAGGCGATTTCTATTGAACTCTCTTCAAGTTCACTGGTTCTTTCTGTCATTTCTATTCTGCTATTGAACCTTTCTAGAGAATTCTCTTTTGCTTTTAGCTCTAGAGTTTCCATTTGGTTCTTTTTATAGTTTATTTTTTTCTGTTGAGATTCCTTACCTTTACATTCATTAAGATTATTTCATTTTAACTCATTTAATGTATTTTTACTTAGTTCTTCAAAAATATTTATAAAAGTAGCTTTGAAATGTTTGTCTGCTATATCTAACATCTGAGCCAATTTTGAATCACATTCTTTTACCTACCTTTTTCCTCTGAGTATGAGCATATTTTTTCTAATATTTTGTATGCCTGATAGTGTTTAATTAAAAACTGGACATTGTGGTTAATATGTTGTAATGACTTGGCATTCTTTTCGGTTCTTTTGAGAATTTTTTTTTTACTGTTTCTCTAGCAGATAGTTAACTTGTATGGACTCAGATTGCTCATTTTGTCTTCCCATAGCAGTTGACATCTCTGCTCAGTTCTTTCAGTTCTACGTGCTGCTTTTTTTCTGAGCTCTCTTGGCTGTCTCTGTCTCTTACTCCTAACTCTGGTCAGCTGGGAATTTGGGACTTGGTTTATACTCAGATTTTTGGTCTCACTCCTTTGTTGGTGGTCTCTCACTTTAAGGATTTTTGCCTTCAAATTTCTAGATATTTGGCTAGTCATGAAGTTAATACTGTGGCTTCTCTTGGAGCTGTAGAAGTCAAGGCTTGCATTTCTTTCCCATTGTAATCCCATTGGGGGTAAACTCTGATTTCTGCAGACATTAGGTTGACTTTCAGTGATTTTAAATAGTTTTCTTCTTTTATTTTGTTCAGGTTTTAGGTTACCTGTGGAAGGGTTTACCTAACTAGTTTACTTTGCTATTATTAACAAGAAATGTATGATTCAGTATGTTAATTTTATTTTCTTTGATACTTTTATGAGATTATTCACTAGAGAGAATTGTAAAATTCTGAAGAGACTCATATTTGTATGTGATGTATGCTGTTGGCAAAAGAAGACTATAGACAAATGACACAGCTGAAAAACACATTTTTGAAGTAATTGAAATGAGTTAATATTACAGCTTCTTATATTTAAAACTTCAAGAAATGCCAGAGAGAGGAGTAAATAATTATATATGAGAGCAGTCTTAAATTTTTTATTAGAATATATTATGTGCCAGATCAGAATATTATGGTTAATACAATAACATTTGAAGGCCATTTTTTTCTGGTAGCTTTCTGTTGAAATACAAAAACTATACGCATTGAAAATATCAGAATACTTTGTAGTTATTCCAGTATGATGTGGTGAAAAACTCAGCAATAATGGTGAATGGACATAAGAAGGAAGGATGAAGTATTGCAGATTGAATAAAGTACCTTAATTATGTGCAAGGGAGAAAAAAGCAGTCAAAGTAATATATTTTTTAAGGGTAATAACAGTGATTTTTGTAGAAGGGATGTGTATATGAATTTGCGTGTGTAGGTGTCAGTGAAACAGAGGCACATAGGAGCAGTCAGCCATTTTACTCTGGAATTATCAGCTTCTCTTGTATTACCACTGCTGTTAGTCCTAGTTTAGGTTCTCATCAAATCTGGACTGTCAGCTTCCAACTGTGTGCCTAATACAGTGATAAGTTCTGGGATAAACTAGTGCAAGGGTTAGGTGTTTGCCCTCAAGGAAATTAGTCTGCTGGCAGTAGCAAGCAAGTACTTATGTGGAGCTTTATAAGTGGTAACCCTAATATATAAAAATCCTGGGTCCGTCATGACCGGAAGCTCAAACAATCAGAAGTCAGTCCTGCTGTCAGCACTGGGTTATTGTGGTGACCCAGCACTGACTGCTGTGGCTGCAGATTCAGTGACCAGGCACTCACTAACTGCTGAGGAGGCTGCGAATCAGGCCCGGAGAGAGGCCTGAAGAGAGAAGCAGGGTCTGATCTATAGCCTTTGTGGCAGCTGTCGATCAGCACTTGCCCCTCTCTTTCTCTCCAGGCCTGACCAACAGCCGCGCCTCCATTTCTCTTCAGGCCTCCACTGGGGCTGCTGATCAGCACTGCCTTTCTGATCAGGCCCTGTTGATAAGCCCAGAGATGCTGACTGACATAGAAACCGACCAAACAGAACTAAGTCTGGGTGAACTGTGAGGAGTCATTGGCTGCCTAGGAGGCGGAGCTTTTTTCACTGACTGGCATAGAAACTGACCAATCAAAACCAAATTGGTCGGCAGAGGAGGACAATTAGGGGTGAGATCAGGCCTGCAGGGGAGGGCAGTTAGGGGTGATCAGGCAGGCAGAGGCATTTAGGGGCGATCAGGCAGGCAGAGAAGTTAGAGGTGATCAGGCAGGCAGGCAGGCAGAGGGGTTAGGGGCAATCAGGCAGGCAGGCAGAGGCAGTTGGGGGCGATCAGGAAGGCAGGCAGGTGAGTGGATAGAACCCAGTAGTCCCAGATTGTGAGAGGGATGTCCCCCAAAGGGCCCTCAATTGGAGAGGGTGCAGGCTGGGCTGAGGAAACCCCCTCCATGCACGGATTTTTGTGCACCGGTCCACTAATACTTTAATAAGCTCTTGCTAAATAATCACTTTTATAAACACTTGTAACTTATTCTTACAGAACCTTATGGAGTAGGAATTAGTATTAGTAGTGGAAGTACTAGGATTTGACCCTACACAGTCTGTTTCCAAAACCTGTGCTTTTAACCACTCCTATATTATCTAAACAAAAAAACTTAAAGGAGAAAACATATCACTAGTTGTCTTCAAAATGCCTTTTTTGACTGTCACATTAATGTACCTTTAGTTTAATTTTCTCCATTTACTGCTTTGTTTATGATTTTGGAACAATATGAGTAGTTCCATGAATAAGAGAGGTAGGAGTCATGAGGCAGATGAAAAGATCACAAAGGAACCTGGTCAAAGAGCTTTTAGTAAGGGAAGATGGAATCTACTCAAAAATGCAAAGCAGAAGTTGGTAAGAGTCATAATAAAAGTATCTCTATAGAAGTTCACAAGAGGAAAACGTATTTATGGGTGAAAGAAGTGTTACTAAAACTGTGGAGTTATAACTGAGTTTTAAAGAATGTTGTATTTAGATGTGTGAAAATGGGATAGTGGAGGGAATAGTGATAAATGAAATGGAGGCAGGAAAAATACATATATTGGTGGAATAGGGAATAGATTAGTTTGTTGAAGGAGGCATGTGAGAAGGAATTTAAATATCCTTAAATACCAAACCATAGGGTTGTATTTACTTTAATGGGCAGTGATGACCCATTAAAGAATGAAATTATACTTTTGGTTGACCTATGAACCAGATTGCATGATGTGGAGGACATGGGTATTGCAGAGATGAGTTTTGGTTTTTGCAGGGGGTGGTTACTATTCAGAAATACAGTGCTCTGCACTTTATAGGGAAGGATTTCCAGTTGTAGCTGTGGATTCTTGAGACTGGGGCAAAGGAAAAAAATATATATATACACACACATTAAATGTAAAATCCTGCATTTATGTTTATGTTTATTGTATAGTACTTTATTCTTCTTAGGTTGCTGGGGAATGGCCTTGGATTAGAAATTGAACTGACTCTTTTATGACCACTCAGGGCCACCCAGTGCTCCTGCAGAAGACCGTTCAGGAACACCTGACAGCATTGCTTCCTCCTCCTCCGCAGCTCATCCCCCCGGAGTTCAGCCACAACAGCCACCGTATACAGGAGCTCAGACACAAGCAGGTCAGAGTGAAGGTAAAATAGAGCTTAGAGCACATGTGCAGGAAAGTACACATGCAGAAATGTTTATTGCAGCATTGTTTGTAATGGTAAATGCTTGTATTCATGCTATGAACACAGGTAGGAAAGATTTTGATTGACTAATATGGTATATTTTGAGGTAAAAAAAACACACACACCAAATAGAACAATATGTTATGTATGCTTCTGATTATTGAAAAGAAAAAAAAAACAAACAAACAAGAAAGCATTTATGTGAATAAAACACAAGGTGAAAGATCAGGAAGGATTCATACCAGTCAGTGGTGACCCTGGGGTATGTGATGACTCATTGAGGTGATACTTTTAATTTAGGTGCTACTTTCTTCTCCCTTCCCCCTATGCAACTGTGTATTACTTTTGTAATTTAAAAATATTTAAAAAATAGAAGCAAAGCATACTTAAGGGTAGTACTGCTAATAATGTCGAGGAAAAAAGTGTATTTTAAAATCAAACTTTATTTCTTTAAATGATGTGTGCTTGGGTGAGTAAATTTACTCTGTGGGTTTTGATATTCTCTCACTGTAAATTGTGAAAATTGGACTAAATCAGTAGTTTTAAAGGAAAATCTAATCATTAATGAAATTTGTAAGCTTAGTAATATTGTAAGCTTAGTATTACAATTTTATGATAAAAAGGGGGTCATTGCCATATGTCAGTGCTTTTTCAGTCTTTTTTTTTTATCTCGTGGCAAATATTTTTAATAAACTAATTACTAAAATTCTTCAGCACACCGAGAAATAGATTTTTTGCTGACCTGACAAAAAATAAGTATAATTTTGATTTACAGAAATTATAATGGTAGTAATTACCTATCATTTTTGCTCCAAAGTGACTTTAAAATAAATCAGGTGCCCATATAATTTCTGGTACCAAGAATTAACCAGTCAGATGCAACCTTAATCTGTGATATTACCAATAAGATGCAGCTGTATTATATGACATATATTTATGGTTCAAGATAGGGCATTCACACCAGATAGCTATTGTTGTGTTGGCTATTGTCATTTTAAGGGAAAAGAGGTCATAGTCTTTGACTAAATAGTCAGGTATTGCATGTTTTTAAAAGTTCTTGTGGCACACTGGTTAAAAGTTGCTGCCATATGTGAAGGAAATTGAGGTGCCACAAGCTCAATTTATACCCTTGGAGCTCTGCAGATTGGCTACGTATAGTAGTTTCTCCTTTTCCATAGTTTTTCTTTCTGTAGTTTGAGTTACCCACAGTCAACTGTGGTCTGAAAATATTAAATGGAAATAAATAATTTGTAATTTTTAAATTAGGCACTGTTCTGAGTAGCAGGATGAAATCTTGAGCCATCCTAACTAGGATATGAGTCATCCTTTTGTTCATTGTACCCACATTGTATAAGGTTATACCTATAATTCGTGTTACCACACTGCTTTGTGTTCAAGTAACCCTTATTTTATTTAATAATGGCCCCCAAACCATTCCCATAACTTTCATTCCAGTATATAATCATATTTGTTCTATTTTTTTATTTATTAATCTCTTATTGTGCCTAATTTATAAATTAAACTATAGTATAGGTATGTATAGAAAAAACATGATTACTAAATATATATATCTATATCTATATCTATATCTATATCTATATCTATATCTATATCTATATCTATATCTATATCTATATCTATATCTATATATATATATATATATATATATATATATATGTATATAGTTGGGTACTATCCATGGTTCAGGTATCCATTTGGAACATATTCCTGGTAGATAAGTGGGTGAGAATTATTGTAGTTGCTGATCGAGCTACTGATCTCTAGGGTGCCTTCCAGATATTTAAATGTTGGTTCTGTGAATTGCCCATGCGTAAAAGGACCTTTAAAAGTCTACATTTCACTTTAATACAAACACTAGGTGGTGCTCTAACCATTTATATAAAGGGGCCATGTGGTGGTTAGATGTATTTTCAGCAACAGAAGCAAGTGAGTGCTGGCTGCCTGCTGCACTTCAGTTACAGTTTAAGTGGCACTGGATGCTGCATTGACTTTTTTTAGTAGTTGTCTCTTTCTGCCAAAGTATGCTATTTTACCATAGTCTTTTAAAGTATGTTTTTACTGATTTTTAGAGAGAGAGGAAGGGAGAGGGACAGAGAGATAGAAACATGGATGAGAGAGAAACATCTATCAGCTGCCTCCTGCATGCCCCCCACTGGGGATTGAGCCCAAAACCAGGGCATGTGCCCTGACCGTAATCGAACCAGCAAACTCTTGGTGCAATAGCTACACTAGCCAGGCTACTCCCAGTCTTTTGATCAACATTAAATAGTTTGAATATTTTTGAAAGACATAAAAATTTAAGGATTTAAATACTAGCTAGATATTAAAACGAGAGCTATTATTGCTACTCTAGGCATTAGATTGAGATAAATCCATCGTTAGAACAACTGTAAAGTGGTAAAGATGATAAAGACATGAATCAAGAAAACCTTGCTTGTTTGGAAGTCACAGGTAATAAAAGTGCCTGAAGGGTTTCTCTGTAGAAACTGTTGTCTACTGACATAAATAGTACTCTGATTTTCAAGTACACCATCCCCAGTGTTAAGCACGTCTACCATTATTAAAAAGTTCAATAAGGAACTATTTACACTTTATCAGATTCCATGTGATTGGCTAGGATCTTCAGGTGATGGAAAAGTGAGCTGTTGTCAGAATGCCAAAGGTGTCTTTGAGGTCTGGAATGAAAGATACCATGTAATTCCTTGCTACCAAAGAGTCCATTCATATGGTAACCAAAAAAAGTTCAAACCTTTAGATGAGAAATATAGTGTTTTAGGAAAGATCTGAGAGCTATTAATGGTGTGTGTCTCTAGATTTAAAAAAAAATTTTTATTGATTTTTTTATAGAGAGGAAGGGAAAGGGATAGAGAATTAAAAACATCTTTCAGAGAGAAACATTGATCAGCTGCCTCCTGCACACCTCCTGCTGGGGATGTGCCCACAACCAAGGTACATTCCCTTGGTTGGAATTGAACCTGGGACCTTTCAGTCTGCAAGCTGACGCTCTATCCACTGAGTCAAACTGGTCAGGGCATGTTTTTTGACTCACTTGATTTTTATTGAGCATTAGCAGTACATACCTGTTGGCAGTTGGGTTTGAAAACACTTATTAAATTGTCCATTACATTTTTAATGTCTATTCATTGACATTTAAAGGGGAACAAACATTCTTCTGTCTTTGTTACTCGGTATGTTTATGTGTTTGGATGGGCAGAGAATTAAATGTGCCTTAAAGGTATTGTTTTTCTACTGAGTTAAACCTGCCTCTTTTTTTCTTGTCTTTTTTAGGTCAGATGTATCAACAGTACCCACAGCAGGCTGGTTATGGTGCTCAGCAGCCACAGGCACCACCTCAGCCAGCACAGCAGTATGGCATTCAGTATTCAGGTGAGCAGGTGTCCAGAAGGATCTGGCTCATGGTTTTTGAGCTCTTACTATACTCACTAAACATTAATTCTTTGCTCTTAATTCCTTGATTTGCAATACTTACATTGTCATAGCAGGTAGTATTTATTTATTAGGGAAATAACATTTGTTTTATTTATTTACAAATATTTTGTATAAATATTTTATTGTAAATCAACATTTCAGTTTTTCAGTGGGTGAGTAAAACAGTCATGGTAGATGATTCTCTAATAACTTGTTGTTCAAAAGTTTTTAATAAAAAGCTATCTCCTTCTGATGTGATCAGCTTACTCTTAGGTAACTTAGAATTGCAAAAATGCAAGGTTTTTTCACTTCATTAATGTAACTCATAATCCCAGTATACTCTTAGTATCTGTAAAAATATTAATACTCATAGTTCCTTCATATATGGAAAGGTGATCTTAAAAGAGGGTGGGAAAAATTGGCTTACCATGGTTTGTGTAGAATAGACATGCAGGTTATGATTATTATAATAGCTTTATTATTTACAACTATAAACCTACTTTTGCCCAGCCCTGTAAATAAGAAGCAAATTAAGCTACTTAGGTTTTTAAATTTCTCCAAAGTATGTAGGAGTACCAGAAACAGGTTAAAAAAAAAAAAATTAGAATTGTGTAAAACTTAATTCAGCAATTAAGAACATTAAATATAGTTGTTTTGAATATAGTGATTATAACAATTTAGTTAATTTTTATGTTTACTAGAGAGTTCGTGTTCAGCTCTTATTTTACAATGAAACATTTAAGTGTCAAATTTCAACTACAGTCAGTTTATCTAAATCTTACCTAATTTCTATTTTATGGAGTTTGTAATAAAAAGTAAAGTAGGAGTCAGCAAATTAGAAACCATAGGCCAAATATGACTTTTTGCCATTTTTGTGAATAAACTTTTACTGGAACACATCTGCGCTCATTCATTATTATACTGCCTATTGGTGCTTTGGCATTACAATTGCAGAGTTGAGTAGTTGCAACAGAGATCATCCTATATAATAAAAGCCTAATATGCTAAATGTCCAGTCATCTGATCATCCGTTCAACCAATCAAAATGTAATATGCTAATGATATGCTAAGGCTGCTCAACTGATTCCTAGGACATGCACTGATCACCAGGGGGCAGATGGTAGGTTAGCTTGCTGCTGAGGTCCGGCTGATTGTGACTGAGCGAGATGTGCCAGACACTCCCTGGAGCCCTCCCACAGTCCCTACCCTTCTGGCCAGTCTTCCACGTCCCTTCCCAGCCCAATCATGCACCAGTGGGGTCTCTTGGCCTGGCCTGTGCCTTCTTGCAATCTAGGACCCCTTGGGGAATGTCGGAGAGCCAGTTTTGGCCTGATCCTGCAGGCAAGGCCAAGGGTCTTCACTGACACACAAATTTGTGCACCAGGCCTCTAATAGACCCATAAGATCTAAAATATTGACTAGCCCTTTACAGAAAAAAACGCTTGCCTGTCCCTGAACTAGACTATAAGATTCTATCATTAAGTGCAGTTTGACATATCTTAACACTGCAATTTTTATTTGGATTGTATTTGCTGTATAGTGATTTAACGGGTAGCTGCTAGTTTTTAATTATATAAAATAGGTGAAATGAATTTAAATTTAGATTATGATATTTGAGGGGAGGTTAGTTTTAAAATTAAAGAAAAATCAAAATGTTACAAATTATGTAATTTGTAGAAATCTCAGAGTTTTAGAAGCACCCGGAGAGATTTTCTTAAACATTACAGACACCTGGGCCCTCCTCCAAGATATTTTGTTCATTGAGTTTGTGGGACTCAGGTTTTGATATTTTGGAAGCATTGCAGGTCATTCTAAAGTCAGTAAGGTTGAGACCACTGATTTTGTCCCACCCACTCTTGTTATAAATGAGGCAACTAGGGTTGGGAGTAGTTGTAGTGCATTGAAGGACATGTAGCCATTCAGTTGAGTTGCTAGATAAGAACCCAGTGCATTTGACTTTCCAGTTAATTACTTCCCTATGTCATTCTGCATTCTCAAACCAAGCTAGGGGTTGGCAGACTTTTCTGTCAAAAAAGGCTAGATAGTAAATATTTTAGGCTTTGTGGACTATATGATCCTATTTTATTTGTTCAAAACAATTTTCATTTCTTAAGATTTTTGGTTTCTTCATCACAGTTGCTTATTTTTTTAAGAGAGGTATGGTGGTTTGAGGGAAATTATACATAAAATTTGGAAGTATTGTCAAAAGTCTCTCCACTACCGTGTTTCCCCGAAAATAAAACATCCTCCGAAAATAAGACCTGCTTACAGGTTTCCTTCTGAGTGAAATATAAGGCATCCCCACCAAAATGAGGCCCCCCAGGCTCTGTCTCAGAATGAAAATTAATTTACCGTAAACTGGTCGCTAGGGCCGCCCCGACTGGCGTCTAGCAACCAGTGACTTTACGCGGAGTCCTGACATCACTGCTGTGTGGAGGCGGAGTGGAGGTCGGAGTGAGCGGTGAGTGCGGGGCAGGAGAGAGGAGGAGACTTTCGCAGATGCATGTAGAAGAACAGGAGTATTGGAGAGGACGGGACACGGTGTAGGTGGTGAGTGCTGGTCTGTCTCTGGTGACACTACCTGATGCTCGCGGCCGCCCTCATGATGACTGAAGGTTTTCAGTCAGTGGCAGACCCTGCTCCAGCCCAGATCCAGGCCCCAGCAAGCCCAGTGACAGTCCCCAGGCAGGCCCCAGGGGGTAAATATCTGATATAGGGGTAGAGGGGGTGTCTGGTGAAGGTGTTCAGTGGCACAGGGGTGGGGGGAGGGGGATCACTTAAAATGATACAGGAAGATCAGAAGGGGCAATCAAAATGACACAGGAGGATCAAAAGGGGTTACTAAAATGGTAATCCTCCCCTCTGATTCTCCTGTGCTATTTTGATTCTCCCCTCTGATCCCCCCTGTGTTGTTTTAAGTGATCCCCCTCCCCCCACCTTGATACCCCAATTCCTTTTTTTTACCCCTAGAAATGAGCTCAAAAAGAAAAAGGTACTCCGTGGAGTACAAGAAAGGAATCGTGGAAGACTCTTGGGGCCAAAATCTTACTGCTTTCTGCAAAGAGAAGATGTTGAGTATCCGATTGGTCCAAAAATGGCGAGCAGAGTATGGTAACCTCATTGAACAAGTGGACGAGGGAAATGCTAAAAAGCGCAAGTGTGAATCAGGTCGGCAACCATTATTTTCTGAGCTGGAAGACCTGATCTGTGAATGGGTTGTTGACAGGAGAGCAAAGGCTTTGGTTGTGAATAGGGCTCAGATTCAAGAATTTGCCCTTGCAATGGCATCACAGTTGGACATAGCCCCCGAAGACTTCAAAGCATCACAACACTGGCTGGATAATTTTCTTCAGCGAAGTGAACTGTCTTTAAGAAGATCTACAACATTGTTTAGGTTGGAAGATACTCAAGTTATTAAGCGAGCACTTGCATTCAAGTCCTTTATTGATGATGCTGACTTCTCTAAATACAGTCTTTCCAACATGATTGCTATGGATGAAACTGCAGTGTTTATGGGTCAGTCATCTCAAACAATTGAACAGCAGGGTGCCTCCTTAGTGTACATTCCCTCCACTGCTTATGAAAGTGTACGTGTTTCCTGTATTTTGGTAATTCGTCTGGATGGCACTAAAATCCCACCTTTAATCATTTCTAAGGGCAAGAAGGAAAAGATTGAACATGTTTTGGGCGTTTTTATTCTTGAAACTGAAAAAGCCTGGGCCACACAAGCAGTTATAAGGAAGTGGGTCGATTTAATGCTGCCGCTTGTTATGCGAGGGAGCCAAAGAGGTCTGCTAGTCTGGGATGCGGCCAGCACTCACTGTGCTAAAGACATGAAGACATTTCTTCATGAAAGAAAAATAGATCAGATAATGATTCCCGCAGGAATGACGGCCTATCTCCACACTCTTGATATTGCAATAAAGAAGCCATTCAAAGACAATTTGCGCATGGAAATTAATGACTACATTGAAAATAGAATGGAGAGAAATCAGCGTGGAAACTTTGTGAAACCTAAACTGCAAGAAGTTGTGACTTGGGTGAAGAACTCATGGGAGAAAATCACTGACAGTTGCATTGCAAATGCACTGCGAGCAGGCTACCTTGACAAGAAGTACTCATTTAAAGACAGTGCTATTGCTAAACATGAGAGATTTGGTCCACTGATTCTGAAAGAAATGGAGTCACAAGAAATTCACCAGCAAATTCAGGCATTGGATTGTTATGATGATGTTCCAGAAGATGATGACATGATTGTCATTGAATAAATGAATAAATTCTTGATAACTGTAGGGTTCACAGTTTGTCTGGTCTGTGTTGACAACTACCGTACTACCGTACCGTATACAAATAATAAATTTCCTTTATTTTCATTTAACAATGTGTGCCATATTCTTCATGGAAAAATAAGACATCCCCTGAAAATAAGACCTAGCGCATCTTTGGGAGCAAAAATTAATATAAGACACTGTCTTATTTTCTGGGAAACAGGGTAGTTTGCTAATGAAAATGGCATCTTAGGCCCCTATGGGTCAGTCTCCCTCTTAAGAGATCATCAAGGATCCAGTTGTTTCCAGACTCCTTAGTGAAAAAGGCAGTTGAGATTTTTTTGTTCATTTTTGCCAGGATGAAAAGGCAGGTTTTTTTATTTGTTTGTTTTAATTTTTTTGATTTTTTTTTTTGTTTACGGTGTTAAATTGAATAGATCTTTTCAGTATAAAAGCTGAGTCCGTCTGTTTCTCCATAATCTTACAGTAAAAAATTTAAGTTAAAAAATTTTATGTAGAAGATAGGAGAAACTAAATGACACTCAATATTTGATCATGAATTAACTTTAGTTCAGTATTTAGAAAATATAAGTAAAATGCATTAGTTATTTGATTTAGTTATTAAAAATTAAGCTTGCTTTTAATGATTTTAGTCAGGGTCTCCACTCTATGAGTAAAATTTAGCTTTTTTGAAATTGTCTTTGTATTTCTGATCCCACTAGTCCTATTAATATAAATTTGATTGGGAGATATGGGAATAGTCAACTGAATACTCTGCTTGGAGACTAAGTGGGGGTGGTAGCATTGGACCATTTTTGACACTGTTGGTTTGCCAGTTTCCCTCTGACCTTTTTCCAGTTTTATTCATGGACTATGTCAAAAGGTTTCTTTCATGAGTAAATTTTGAACCGAGGTTAAAGGTGAGTTCAGAATATACACAAATTCATTCAGTCCTTTTTTTTTTTTTTAAACGTACATATTTTAATAATTTTCTTATGTATCTGGTATTTAATGCTGACAGGATTCCAGTCAATGGAGAGGTTTCATTGCAAGTAGCTGCAGGTGTGTTTCATGGTAGAGATAAAAGTTTTTAGTGAAGCAGACTTTTTCTTTAAAAAAAATTTATATCCTTAGTAAATAATGAATATAGATGTTGCTTTTGTGGGGCAATAGGGTATGCTTTTTGTGTGTGATGTTATTACTGCTAAATTGTAATATTGAGTTGTATAGGCAAAAAAACACATCAGATACCAAATTTTAAAAAAGTGAAAATATTAAGGGTTGTGAAGATGGGTACTTAATGTTTATTCTTAAATGGCTTAGTTTTTATAGAGTGACTAAACCTTTAAAGCATCTCAATAGCACATTTAGATGTATTTGTAGTACCATTGTTTCATTTTAAAATATTAATTCTCTAACGTGTTTTTATTTGGTACTGTTGTTAAATAGGCCTTCCCTCAAAACCAGACTAATGACTAAGTTTTTGCGTTAATTCTGCCCTTTATCATTTGAGCATCTACTCTATACTAGGAATTATGCTCTCACGGATTATATAGTGTAGAAGCAGTTGGTAGTGAAGAAATATGTGTATACAGGTTTCAATTTAAGATGAGTGGGTTTAAAAAGTGTTAAGAAAAATTTTGATGCCATTTAGTCTGGAAATAAGATTATACGGTAGAATCTACTACCTTACTTGTTATATAAATACTTGGGATTTCTCATCATTTTTTGGTCCATAACAGTAAAGACTATTTCTCTGGAAAATTTTAATCAATAGACAAAGATAGTATATACATTCTTTATTTTGCCTTTTCAGCAGGCTATAGTCAGCAGACTGGACCCCAGCAACCTCAGCAGTACCAAGGATATGGCCAGCAAGCAACTTCCCAGGCACAAGCTGCTGCATTTTCTGGTCAGCCTCAACAACTGCCTGCTCAACAGCCACAGCAGTACCAGGCGAGCAGTTACCCTCCACATACTTACGCCACCCAAACTTCTCAGCCCACTAATTACACTGTGGCCCCTGCCTCACAACCTGGAATGGCTCCAAGCCAGGCCGCAGCCTATCAACCAAGACCAGGTTTTACTCAGTCTGCAAGTACCATAACCCCTCCGCCAAGTGGGGCTAACCCGTATGCACGTAACCGTCCTCCCTTTGGTCAGGGCTATACTCAGCCTGGACCCGGTTATCGATAAAGAGCTCAGCTACATTGGTGAAATGTAGCTGCTACCTATTTGCCTCCCAAAAGACTCCAATACTGTTATTTTAATTTGTATTGAAGTTCAGAAATTTAAAAAGCAGAGCATTTTTTATGGTATCATTGTTGCTGTTAATTGAGAGTATAACTTGCTAGAACACAACAAAAGACCAAAATGAAAATTATTTCCTCCCCTGCTTAAAAGTGTAGCAGCTTCCTAGTAATTTTGGAACACTACTCTATGTGTGCAAAGTGATTGACTTTCTAGCTTGCCTTGTCCAGAGGTTATTAAAATGCTAGGTTGAAATTTAGCCATCTCATTTGGCTTTGTACTATTAACATGATGTACTAAAAATAGATCTCTTTGAAAAGACAACTAGATATTATGTATAAAATGTAATAACATTGATAGGTTAATAAAGATGATTGAATCAATTAGTGGTCTTGTAGTTTAATTTAATCACTAAAATTATATATTCACTAGTGGCCCAGTTCACAAAATTCGTGCACAGGAATTGGGGGGAGTTTTGCGGTGGGGGCGGGGGGGGGGGGGCGAGGTGTTCCTCAGCCCAGCCTGCACCCTTTCCAATCTGGGACCTTTCGAAGGATGTCCTACTGTCAGTTTACAGGGATCAGGCCTAAACCAGCAGTCGGACATCCCTTTCCCAATCTGGGACTGCTGGCTCCTAACCTCTCACCTGCCTGATTGCCCTTAACCACTCTGCCTGCCCACCTTTTCACCCCCAAATGCCCCCTGCCACCAGCCTGATCACCCCCAACTGCCCCTCATGCCAGCGTGCTTGCCCCCAGCTGCCCCATTGCCAGCTTGCTTGCCCCCAACTGCCCCCCTGCTGGCCTGCTCGCCCCAAACTGCCCGCCCCCCCCTGCTGTCTTGATCACCTTCAACTGACCCCCACTGATGACCTGCTTATTTCCAACTGGCCTCCCTGCTAATCTACTCATCTCCAACTGCCCTCCCCTCTTGGCCTCTAACCACCTCTTCCATGGCCTGCCACTATGGCTTTGTTCGGAAGAATGTCCTGAAGGTCTTCCAGTCTAATTAGCATCTTACCCTTTTATTAGTGTAGAGGCCTGGTACACAGGAGGGGGCTGGCTGGTTTGCCCTGAAGTGTGTCCTGGATCACGGTGGGGGTTCCCTTGGGACATGGGGCAGCCTGGGGGAGGGACTGTGTTGGTTTGCTGGCCGGCCACGCCCCCATGGGTGAGGTTCCCTGCTGGGGGCATGGCCAGCCTGGGTGGAGGGCTGAGAGCTGTTTCAAGCTGCTCACCCTCCCATCAGGGTGGGGGTTCCTCCTGGGGTGCCTGGTCAGCCTGAGTGAGGGGCTGATGGCTGTTTGCAGGCTGGCCACACCCACTTCAGGGTGGGGGTCCCCAAAGTATAGATGGTTTAACTTAGAACAGTTTCTATTCAGAGAAACTGATTTTTGCATGTCTTGAAAGAAATGCATTTAACAATAATTGGCTTAAAACAGTGAAACTTTAAAATTGATGTCACAGGAAGATAGATTAGCAATAATACATAAACACAATAGATACAGTATTAAAAGATACCAGGGGGTTTTGGTAGATCCTGAATAACTAATTTTCCTTATAGAGATGAACCATTCAGAAATAAATAACAGCCTTAAAAAAACACTAATCTCTTTATTGCAGTTTCTACTTGTTTGAAAAGTACAGAGTGTAGCATTGATAAAATTGAAGCATGTTGAAAGGGACCTCTCAGAATGAGGGCAACAATACAGCATTCCCACCTCCCTCTCCAAATGGGGGAAATACCTTTTTAAATAAAAATGGGTCTGAGTAAGTACAGGTTAAGTTGGACTATGAAAACATCTTCTGAAACATTCATTCCTTATGTGTAAAAATATAGTAAATATTTCTGTAAAATGGTAGTGATCTCATGTTATCTTTTTGTGCTCAGACTTCACATTCAGTTTCCTCATACAACTTGTTTAGAATTATATTAAAAACAATACAAAGACAGTTGCTTGAAGGGATAGTTTGACAAAGTATATTCAGATATTGTAATATATAATTATGAGTATAGTAAGAAAATGTATTTTTGAAACTGTTGTTCTCTCAATTCTATTTTTAGCTGAAATGAAATTTGCTTATTGAAACAACCTTACAAATATTTGAGGAAATGTATATTCACATGAATGTTTATTTAAACATTCAGAAAAGATATTCAACTATTGCTAAAAAAAACCCTGAAGTTTAAGTAAACATGTGAATATTACCCCCAGATATATATGCTGAAGTTAATCTGATCTAATAAGTTAAACCAAAGAGAGATTTATGGAATTAACTCACCAGTAGGAAGAATACACATTAATAAAAGTAAACATTTTTTAAAAAGTATATTAGTTTTTGATGTTAATTTTGTTATAAAAGTATCTCAAAACATTACAACATTGTGATAAATAATATACAAAACAATCTCTTAAAATACCATGAATAGGGAGCCAGCTTCCCCAGAAAAATGTTACTCTGTTAATACCTTGCTTTATTAAAATGACTTTTTAAAACCTGATAAATATTCTCAGCAATTTTTCTAATAAACATCTAATATTGCTATCAATTAGATTTCAAACTTTTATACATAGTAAACAGAACAGCTTTTCATGGACATGACAAATACCATAGTGTGTGCAATTATTTTTTGCCACGATGAAACAAAGCACTTGTGAACATGATTGCAGCATCTACCATTTTCCAGGAATTGTGGTCCCACATTCATACCACTGAACGTAATTGATTTGGGTGTGACCACCGATTTCTCCAAACTGGACAGGCTCCTGGCGAACTGCTCTGAAATAGCCTAAAAGGGAAAATTAGTTATAATAATTGCAATGATATATATGTGCCTTTTTTGCTCATAGATTGAATGGCTGAAGGTTACTCTCCATGAAGTATTTCAGAAATGGAGAGCAGCAGAGGCCATGAAATCTTTCCTGAGGTAGAAACGGGGGCTAAACATCAGAAGCATCTGTAACTCCTTAAAGCATGGGACTGCTGGTAGTATATAGGAAACAAAGCTGGAAAGGAGCAGGAGTCAGAGGAGTTGTGTGTTTTTGAGTGTCATTGAGCACATCTACACTCTGTCTTATGTGAAAGTGTGCTTTCTGCACATTACAGACCTATGGTGGTCTATGAAGAACTGACCTGAGTAATGGTGCTATGTGTATTTACCACTGTGTTAAGAAACAAAGGTAGAATGTATCAAGCTTGCTAAATTTCTAAGAATTAAACTTAGGTGGAATCTTTAATGACCCTATACTAAATGAGTAAAACTTTCAAAATTTCTCTGTGAATGTAAAATGTAGAAATATATAAAATTTATAGTATGTATCTAATCCCTATGAGACACCAGTTTCAACTTGTTTCATGGGTTCACAGATCCTATCAAAGCATCTTTTCATGGTGCCAGTGAACAAAATGTGTTGCTGAAAAGACTAGTCAAATGATTTAAGATATCTAATGAACTTCTTGGTGATTCCCAAGTAATATGGACATTTAATTTACCCTCTCCTACCTTGTCTGTACAACAAGTAAATTAATTTTCATCTTTTTAATCTTCATTAAGCACCTTAGTGCTAATGTGTCCAGCATTACCATGATTATACATTTTTTAACATAATTGTTTTATTTTAACTGAACTTATATAATGAAGGCCAATAGTACTGTTTTTCCATTTGTGGTAATCTGTCTTTAAAATTTTTTTAAGGGAATAAAAAAATGCCTATGTGCTCAGTATTGACAAAGAACATAAAGGTAATATATGAATGATTTAAGTTTAGGAAACATTGCTTTTATTCAGGTTTCCTTGAAGTAAAATACATTTGTCTGTAGCTTTCCTTGGTCCTAAGGAATATAGTCTTAGGGACTGGGAGGAAAGTTGAGAAACTTCCATTAAACTCTTCATATCGATACTAAGTAAGGCCTTCTAACAGTTTTTTTTTTCTTTCTAGCTAGATAATTATAACAGTGCTAGCATAGAATTATTTTTAAAGTGATTGCTTTCCTCAGCTTGAATTCTTTTTGTGTCAATTTATAAAACCTTGCTTTTGAGGAGGCTCAGAAAACATACCTTGTTTTGTGGGTAACTGCTCAGAAGTCAATTGCTGCCCTGTGTGTCCATCTAAAAATGAGTCCACAAATTGGCAGTGATCTTCTCCATGGCCTCTCTGATCGCCTATGTTATAAAACTTTCCTGAAGAACCAAAAATTAAAAGGATCATAAAATGTTACTTACTTTGATATGAGACCATCTATCTACACTAATAAAAGAGAAACATGCAAATTAACCATCACTCTGCTACACCCACCAGCCAATCAGGAGAAATATGCAAATTAGAAGGGGGGGAAATGGTGGCTGCCTAGCTGCTCCACACATGTGGAGTGGCTGGGCGGGGCAGGATACCTGCTATGAGAGGGAGGGCAGGGGGCAAAGGGATCCATAGCAGCGTTTTTCAACCACTGTTCTGCGGCACACTAGTGCGCCGCGAGATGTTGCCTGGTGTGCTGTAGGTGCAGACAAGACAAGAATTTTATAATTTTTCACTATTTTGTTTACTTAATATTTCATAATAAAGTAATTATAAAATACTTTCTTTGTGTTTATTTGATTCCTATTCAAGAGAATTACTTTATATATAGTCAATATGGGCACAGAGTTAAATTTTTTAACATTTTCTAATGGTGGTGTGCCTCGTGATTTTTTTCATGAAACAAGTGTGCCTTTGCCCAAAAAAGGTTGAAAAACACTGATCTATAGGAGAGGCACTCTGGGCACGGTGAAGATGAAGATGTCAGACTGACTCCAGAGTCTGCCTGACCTGAGCAAAAGCCTGGATCCCAAAGTGCCGGAGGAAAACCCGTGCTGGAAGCCAAGGGTAGGAAGGCCTATTGCACGAATCTCTTCGTGCAATGGGCCTCTAGTCTATATATATAAAAGCCTAAGCAACTGGACAACTGGCTGGCAGCTATGACGTGCACTGACCACCAGGGGGCAGATTCTTAATGCAGGGGCTGCCCCCTGGTGGTTAGTGCCCTCCCATAGTGGGAGCGCCAGATGCTGGGCTCATGGCTGGTGAGCATAGCTGCCTGTGGTGGCATGAGCCTCTGCTCTCTCCCCAGCAGCTTGCTATCAAGTTTCGGCAGTAGGCGCAGAGGGGCTGGGATGAACGGGAGCTGCGCAGCATTCAGCCCGGGCTTCCCCCCAGCCACCTGACCTGTAGGGACAGGGCCAAAACTGGCAGTCTGACATCCCCCAAAGGTCCCGGATTGCAAGAGGGTGCAGGCCAGGCTGAGGGACCCCACCAGTGCATGAATGCACCAGGCCTCTAGTTCTGAAATAATCACATTGTTCCAAATAATTATTCTTTCCTGATCTTGTACTTTCCCCTACTCTTACCTAGTTCAAGCCATCAGCGCCCTTTGACTGAACTATGAAATGGTCTGCCAGCTGACATTCCTGTTTTTCCTTTTGCCTCCATTCTTTTTCCCTTCCTCTCATATCCTGCATATTTTAAAAATGCTACTCAGGCCGAAACCGGTTTGGCTCAGTGGTAGAGCGTCGGTCTGCGAACTGAAAGGTCCCAGGTTCGATTCCCGTCAGGGGTATGTACGTTGGTTGCGGGCACATTCCCGGTAGGGGGTGTGCAAGAGGCAGCTGGTCGGTGTTTCTCATCGACGTTTCTAGCTCTCTATCTCTTTCCCTTCCTCTCTGTAAAAAATCAATAAAAATATATTTTTTAAAAAATGCTACTCATATGCTACTCCCATAAATCTCTCCAGCAACCTCCTATTGTACTTAGAAGAAAACACAAAGTCTCACATGATTTCACCCCTGACTGCCTTGTCTTCCTCTTACTAAGCCTCAGCCACACAGGGAACTGGCTATGCGTGTTCTGCCATACGTCTTTGAGTTTCTCTTCCTCCATCTCTGCTTTCCCATAGATCTTTGCTTGGTTGGTGCCTTCTCGTAGTTTTCCTCCTAGCACAGTGTTATCTTTTCAGAGAGGCTTTTCCTAACACATAATTAAAGGAGTTTTCATTCAGCTATTTTGTTCCATTCTTTTTTTTTTTCCCCAAAGCACTACAACCTGTAAGTTACAAGAAGGCTTGCTTGTGTCTTGTTTGCTGTTTTGTCCCTAGCACCTAGAACAGTGTCTGAATAAAGCGGATACTACTTGTTGAATAATTGAACAAATGTCTGTCTTTCTAAGCCTTATTTAAAATTTTTACTGTAGGAGTATAGAAGAGAAAATAAGCTGCTGAGTCTGGAGCAAGGGGGTACATAGCCTTTCCAACCAGTATTTATAATCTTGATCTTGTCATTATCAGACTAAAAATTTGATTGTCTTATTCCTCCCAGGAGTACTGTTAGATACACCCATTTTAACATCAGTAAGGTTTTTATCCTTGGTTGGCTGTAACAAAATTGAGCTTAAATGTGGCTAGTGTCTTTACATGCAAGTTTGCCATGATGGCACTGTTCAAATTGCATTTTCATTGTTTACCTTCTAAAAGCATGTCTCAAGTCCTTGTTTTCTAGGCTATTTCAATAACATCTTGCTCAAAAAGAAAAATTGTATCTACATCAGACCTTAGTTTCTGTCCAAAGAAAAGGCCAAGTTTTACAGAATGTTGCAAAGCATTCCCTTGAAAGATAAGACTCAAAACAGCAGGCAGTCTTGCTTACCTGCGAGGGAGTCGCTCAGATAAATCTTGTATCTGAGAGAGTTGCATAGCTGCACCCCTACAAACTTTTTATACCAAGTCCTTTTGACATATTGTTTGCCTTTACATTCTGAGTAAGAGTCTGAATCAAAGGGTCTTTCTGTCCAGATGGCATCTCTTCCTCCTGCATCAGGAAAACATAAGATTTGAGTTTAGTATCTGCTTTTGGTGCCGAAGAGTTGTCCTAAAAGCTTTAAAAAACAAACAAACAAACAAACAAACAAACAACAAATAAAAACAATTTTCAAAGTTCACTGTCAATTTGTTGACAGCTGGCTTTCTCTAATGCTAAATATTGGAGCCAAAAATATTATAGGAGTTTAAACACATAAGGCCCCACTTAAGTTCCTGTCAATAGTGGTAAAGCTGTAGAGGTGTGTTTTTAGGTATTGAATAGCCTATGCAGGGATAGATGTAGACAGCATCCTGAGGGAATTCAGGGTTTGTTTTGTGAGGCAGCATATACAATTTAAACAGCTGCTCTAATGTGACTTGCTATTAAAAGTGGAAATGAGGTTATTATATCTTGATAGTTATTATACAAAAAATTTGGTACATGAATGAAAGCAAGCTTCAAAACATCCAACTTGTTCCTAAAACATCATAGACTCTCATTGAAACTGAGAATATAAAGGGATCTCCCTACTTCTTTTGGATACTCATTCACATCTGATTGATATCATGACTTAACATTCTGCCATGTCTGTTAGTTGAATCAGTTTAGAGAAGCATGTAGTTATGTTTACATCGAGGCAGGTACTTACCAGAAACTGGCTCGCTCACTCTCGGATCCGCTGAGGAGAAACAGCAACAGAGTCAGAAGTTATTAAGTAGGTCTCAGTGTTCCAGTGGTACAGTGAAGAAGGTGGTGCTTACAGTAAAGAAATTTCCCCCACAAAATAGTTTACTCTTTCTAAAATGGAATTGGAAAGTATGTGGCTGTTGTTTTGGAAATCGTTCTCAATTGGAAATCTGCCAGATAGTCAGCTGTGTCTTTTATTTGTGATTTGAGTAGACATCGTCATTGCTGTTTTAGCTTTCACTTCCATTTTAAAAGCTTCCTCTTTTAGTTTCATTTAAAAATTACTGATGATAAAATCACCAACACTTCACGAACTGCAGCTGGTGTAAAATTATATAAATGATGCTGTGGGTATATATATATTTCATTAGGGAACTGGAGCTTAGAAGGTCACCAAAGAGAAAATTTACAGCTGCTTATTATAAAACAAACGTATCAAATGAGTTCTCTTTCTAGATGTATGGCTCAGCATGTCTGATATTTTGATTCCAGGAATTGATGCTGGCATACAGAAGACCATTAATTCACTAGATTTTTGAGTATAGATTAAACATTTTTCTTTTAAACTGATATACCTTTTTTCTTACATCAAAATATATGAGGAAAAACATAAGTGGTCTTTCCTGGTGGGCATCTTCCACAATTGGTGTTGTCCCATAGATGACTTTTGGAAATTCAAGAAACTACACATAGTGTTTGGCTGGGCTTCAGAAAAGCTCCTTATTGCAAAACCTTGTGGCCCTTTACATCCTGGCTGGGAATTGCTGTCGATGTGATTACCTGATTCAGTACTGAATGCCACCGTGTTGCTGAGCGGGCCTTCCCCCAGTGGGTTTTTTGGTTTCACCTGGAATTCATAGCTGTGTAGGAGGGAAATGAAAACAAAATAGTAATATATTCTTCAGGGGGAGACAACATTCCCTTGTTACACTAATAGCCTTCCTGAATCTGTTTTGAATGGACATATGTTCTAGAAGCACGAGGAAAGGAAAAACAAAACATTGAATCTCACTTTCTAAACAGCTTGCGTAATGCTTTATATAAGAACAGCGTTAAGTTAATAAAATAATTGTCTAAATTTTTAAAGTCCAAATTAGTAGCAATAACTGGGAAAGTTGGTAATGGATATATAGGAAAGAGGTATGTAGTAGACCCAGGCTAATCCCAGCAACAAGGACCCTCAGTTTTCTCTAGCTGTTTCAACTACTTCCTGGGGGAGAGAAGTAGGGAGATCCCTTTATATTCCTTTTATCACAACTCTCAGTCTTAGTCTTAGGCCGTGTTCCTCTTTGTGGGGTTTGCACTACCTATGTCGGTATCACATAGCAGCAGCTGTGGGGAAAGTTTGTTTTAAATGCAGACTTCTTGCTCCATCCTATCTACTGAATCAAAGTTTTGAGGGGGTCCACGTAGGAATTCACATGTGACATTTGAAAACTGTTAGATTAAGCTATGGAAACAAATGCACATGAAAAAAGTTCTTTACAAGGACTTCCTGGTTGTGTTTCCTGGAACTCAGGTCTCTGGACTTCAGGAAGCCACAGTATCTCCAGAATAGGGACATGGAAGTGTCACATCTTGAAGAGCATGGGCACAAAGGCAGACTTTTCTCTCCTCTGCAGGCCAGATTCATGTGGGCTAGGCTCTTAGCTTTTACGTTAAAAATCAAAACAGGCCCGGCCGGATGGCTCTGTTGGAACATCAGCCCATACACCAAAAAAGATTGCAGGTTCAATCTCTGGTCAGGGTGCATATGGGAGGCAACAGAAGGATCTTTCTCTTTCTCTTCCTCTCCTTGCCTCCATCTAAAATTAATATATAAATCCTCTCATGAGGATAAAAACAAACACCCAAATAAGCCCAGATCTTTAGGAGTTATATGTTTGACTATATCCTTAAGAAGTATGTATTAAATTGCGATGCAACAACTGAGAAATGTAATTCATAGAATACTTATGCAGAGCATATCCTTTAAAGAAATTCAAATAGTAAAAGTAGTTTTCATTTGCCTAAAACTGTGAGTTTTGGGTGCCGGAAAGTATTTTGGATGCAAAACCAATTTGAGTCAGCTGATAGCATGGTGAGTCTCAAATTTGTAAAGGCTTTTGGTAGGTAATTCCCTTTTTTTTTTTTTTGGAAAAGTTTGTAATTGAATAAGAATGCAGAACATACAAAAGGAAGATATGTTATAAATAAGTGAAAAACAGAAGGATGACAATATTAACACACACTGCTAGAATCCCTAAGACAGACTCTAGCATTATGACAATGGCAGCTCCTTTAGGGGCACTTACTATATATCAGACATAATCATTCTGTGTATATAAAGTAACACAAACCCTAAGAGATCAGTGTTATGCCATTTTTTCAGTTAAGAATGATGAGGCTCTTAACCAGTATTCTATTTTTACAAACTTTGTGAAACGAAGATTAAAATTTACAGGGTTGCCCTAGCCGGTTTTGCTTAGTGGATAGAGCATTGACCTGCGGACTGAAGAGTCCCGGGTTTAATTCCTGTCTGCACATGCCCGGGTTGTGGGCTTGGTCTCCAGTAGAGGGCATGCAGCAGGCAGCCGATCAATGATTCTCTCTCATCATTGATGTTTCTATCTCTCCCTCTCCCTTCCTCTCTAAAATAAAAAATAATACGTTAAAAAAATTTACAGGGTTTTTACTGAGAGACTGCACATAAAAACATTTTGAAACCTAATCAACTGATATAAGATGCCATTATCATTTGCAATAAGAGAATGCCAATATAAAACCACATGTCACTCATTCAAGTAAATTGCACAGACATAGGGAGTTTTGGCATGGAATATTTTCTAGAGATGAAATTCTTGCTCAGAAGCCTGATGACCTTAAAACAAAAACAAACCAGTATGATGAACTGATATTGGAACAAAGAAACCACAGGCATTTGGATGTCAGTTCAAGTGGGCAATGCATCCCACACTCCAGGCCACTGCCAAAAGCCCTGTGCGTTGGCTAACTCTGATTGCTGGAACCATCTCCTTGTCTTTTTATCTTGCAGTTATTTATACTTCAGTTCTATTTGTAGTGTGACCACAAATACTCCTAAGAAACTTTGTTTTTTTTTTTGCCAACATTTTGTGATACTTGACAAGTTTTGAAGAAATCATTTTAAACTAAATTTAATTAACAGCGTGGGACTAAAAGGTACATGTTTTTGGCAGATTAAACCCTATATAAAGAGAAAATATTGAATTGGCAAAGTTTTCCCCAAGAAGCACATTATATCACAAGATCTATGTCATTGTAAGTCAATATTGATTATACATAGGAAATAAGCATGGGATGATATATTGAAAAGCTCTAAAGCACAATAAAGTTATTTAAATAATGCTTCGAAGAAGATTTGGAAGATCAAGTTAAGGAAGTTTTACAAATACATGAACAAAAAGTCAGAAATGAAAAGTGACAGAAAATAAGAAAATAGGATTTTTTCAGGGGATACAATACCTAAGCATTGGGTTCTAGCAGAGATAGGGAAAAAGGAGGGTAGAAAATTATCCTGGAAATTATGTAATTTCTCAGAACTGAAAGACATGGGTTTGCAGATTACAAAGGCCCAATGTACACCCAGAAAAATAAAAAAAGAAAAGAAAAACTATCCAAAGCACAAACGATGCAAAATTTCAGAGTATTGGGGTAAAGACACAATTTTAAGTTTCTGAGAAGAAAATAGGTCCCATTCAAAGAGCCCAGAATCAGAATAACATTTGACTTCCTAACAGCACTGGAAGTTAGAAAATAATGGAACAACGTCTTCAAAAATCTTCATTGTACCCTAAATCCCATGTCTAGCTAAATGATAGTATTAGAGTAAAACAAGGATAGTTTCAGATATGTGAAGACTCAAGAATATTATCTTCCTTAAGTTTTCCCCAAGATGTATTTCTCAACAAGTGCCACAATGCCAGGGAGTAAACAAAGAAGGGAGGTAGGAGATGTACCAGTTGGTTATTCAACGTAGGTGAGAGCCAAAAGATGATGATGTTGAGGAATTCCAAGAGATGTTGCCATAAAAAAAAGTACACAGAACATATACACTGAGTGTCCAGATTATCTCTGAACACATAAAAATCTGGCATATATATATATATATATATATATATATATATACACACACACCAGTGTATGAGTGGGGTCCGGCTAGCCTGGCCAGGAAGAGGGGACATGGGTGGTTGGTCGACCTACCTGCTGGTTGAACTCCTGGTCAAGGGGATAATTTGAATATTAGCTTTTGGTTTTTTTTAAATATATTTTATTGATTTTTTACAGAGAGGAAGGGAGAGAGAGAGCTAGAAACGTCGATGAGAGAGTAACATCGACCAGCTGCTCTTGCACACCCCCTACGGGGGATGTGCCCACAACCAAGGTACATGCCCTTGACCGGAATCGAACCCGGGACCCTTCAGTCCACAGACCGACGCTCTACCACTGAGCCAAACCAGCTTCAGCTGAATATTAGCTTTTTATTATATAAGATATACACTGAGTGGCCAGATTATTATGTGTTCAGAGATCATAATAATCTGGCCACTCAGTGTAGATGACTTGAGCATTTGATCATTCTGAGAAATGGTCAGTCTAGAAATATGGATTTAATTGACAAAAGAAATAGCTAAAATAATTGAAAATTGCAGAGGTGACTAAGATGGTGACATAAGAGGTTTCTGAGCTCCCCTCCTCCTACAAATATGTATAGCTCCACACAGAGCAATTCCTATTGAAAGTGATCCAGAAACTAGCTGAACAGCTCCTACACATTAGGCAGATGACAGAACACCAACCCACATCAATGTGCCTAGGAAAGGCTGAGTCACTTGACAGAACCCCCTGCCACAAGGCCATACAATCAGGAGCAGATCCACAACCACCAGCTTTTCTCTGAGGAGCAAAGGGTTTGGACCGGGTTTGGACCCCAAATCTATAATAGCATCTGGATTTTGTCAACATTTGTGATACTTTCCCCAACTTCTAAGACTCTCTAAATACCCATCTCTAAAAGCCAATGGGGATTGTGTCTATGAGACCTTTAAGAATATAGCAAAACAAAACCCAGTTATTCACAAATGTATTGAGCACTCCCTTTCCACCCCCTCCAGGGATTAGAGCCAAGGAAACAGGCAAAAACCCTATATACTTTGAAGGCTACCTGAGGATGAGGTTTCTAACTTCAGCGCTCATCCAGTGACTGACTGCAATCCTCTCCAGGGACAGAAACAGCAAACACCTTTCCTGCCCTCTCTCCTTAGCCCACTCCAACAACAAAACCAAGTTACTAGTGTCTCCCTGGAAAGAATTTTTACAAATGGTGGCACTCCAGCTTTAGTGGCTGCCGCCCAAGAAATGGGCCCCCAGATTACCTGGCTCTGAGAGCCAATGGGGCTTGTCTTCCTCAGCCCCACAGTACTGTATCAGATGAAGTAGTTCTTACCAGGTGCAGGAGTATTCCCTCCTCCCCGCAGCTGTATCTGGGCCCAGCAGAGAGGAAGCAGACAAAAACACCCATCTCCCAGTGTTTCCCTAGAAGGGGCTTACTACATAATGCTCCGCTGCCACCTGAGGGTCCAGTTTCTAATCAGCCTGCATCTAAGTGCTGACTGCCATTCTCACTTTTGGGACACTGACAGTTTTTGGCAGACCCTCAACTCCTGAAGCCATTAAGAACAAGGAAGGTGGCGAGGGCACTCTCAGAGGCTTGAGAGACAGCTAGAAGCTTGGATGAACTGATCAGAGTGGTTCATTTTTATAATAGGAACAGTCTACCATGACTGGAGAGGTGGCTGTTTTATCTCATGTTTGGAGATCAACAAAAAGAATCAAAGAAATT